TTTTTATCTTTATATGGTCGAGATATTTTAAAAAATCAATTGGTTTTGTTATCTTTTGATTCTGGACTTGCTTTAATTGTTTTAATTTTTTTCTATTTGTGAATGTAATTTAGAAAGGTAGATATAAATTTATAATCAATAATCTTTCATAATAAAATTCTTCCATAATAATTCAAGTTTTTTAAAAATGCACCAAAAACTAAACCCTACACTCTAAACCCAAACCCCACAGTGTAACACCACCCCCTGAACAACCCTACATCCTAAACCCAAACCCTACATCCTAAACCCAGACCCCACAATGTAACTCACTATTCTTCTTTTTCTTTCTAAATTTCTTTATATTCTTTTTCCTCATTCCACCTCTCTATATATATATAATCTCTATCTTCTCTGACATCATATTATTCTAGTTTTTATTTATCTCTTCTTTATCTTTTTTCTCCTTACATTCCTTTTTTCTTTGATTTATATTTCCTGATATTCGAGTTTTCTTCTTCTTCTCCAAATTTCCCATCTTCTTTTTCATTGTCTTCTTTTCTTTTACTCGCGTTTTCATTCGTTCTTATCTATGTCATCTATTTCACCTATCAATTCATTCAATAGTTTAGATTATCAAGGATTTTTGAAATAATTTTTATCTTTATATGGTCGAGATATTTTAAAAACTCAATTGGTTTTGTTATCTTTTGATTCTGGACTTGCTTTAATTGTTTTAATTTTTTTCTATTTTTGAATGTAATTTAGAAAGGTAGATATAAATTTCTAATCAATAATCTTTCATAATAAAATTCTTCCATAATAATTCAAGTTTTTTAAAAATGCACCAAAAACTAAACCCTACACTCTAAACCCAAACCCCACAGTGTAACACCACCCCCTGAACAACCTACATCCTAAACCCAAACCCTACATCCTAAACCCAGACCCCACAATGTAACTCACACCCCCCCCCCCCCCCCGCGCGCCCTAAACAACCCTACACCCTGAACCCTGTTTTTCCCATCTTCACCTTCCAACTTTCATATTTTCCTTATTTTTATTCAGGATTTTCTTCTTATTTCATCTTGTATTCTTCATCATTTTGTATTATCAATCTATTAATCTTTTGCAACATCTTATTTATCAGTTTCGTCTATCTCTTTATTTTCTTTTATTTATTTTGTCTCATCTTCTCATATTTCTTCTTCTTCATCCCCTCATACATTTTTGTTATTTTTTTCAGTTGTACTTAATACAAACCGTACATCATAACCCTACCCCGCACATCCATACAGTACACAATAACCATATAATAGACAATCTTTTCAATATAAATAAAATATTTTTATCTTTTGGTGTAATTGTTGTTGTTGTACAAAATTTCATATGATATTTTAAGAATACGCAATGTTATTTTTTTTTCGATATGATTTGAACAAAAGATTAAACAATTTACTTGTTTTGCTATTTCCCTTTCCCTTAGAATTTTCAAGAACTAAGTATTTCTTTATTCACTATTATTTTCAAGAACTAAGGTTTTAAAAAGGCTAAAAAAATAAACACTATACCCACCAATATAAACCCTACCTTTAAAACCCTACCCGTAAAATAACCCCCCCATCCATACAGTACACCATAATAACATAATAGGCAACCCTTTTTAATTTAATTAAATAATTTTTTCTTAAATTGGTGTAATTGTTGTTGCACAAATTTTTATATGATATTTTAAGAATACGCAGTATTATTATTTTATTGATATGATTTGAAAAAAAATATTAAACAATTTAGTTTTTTTGCTATTTCCCTTTACCTAAGAATTTTCAAGAACAAAGTATTTACTTTTTCATTAGAATTTTGAAGAACTAAAAAAAAAAGAAACTAAACTCTACACCCACCAATATAAACCTACATTCTAAACCCTAACCTAAAATAACCCCCCCATCCATACACTACACCATAACCACATAATAGACAACTATTTTCAATTTAAATTAAATATTTTTACCTTAATTTTAGTGTAATTGTTGTTGTTGTACAAAATTTCATATGATATTTTAAGAATATGCATGCAATGTTATTATTGTATCGATATGATTTGAACAAAAGATTAAACAATTTAGTTGTTTTGCTATTTCCCTTTTCGTTACTATTTTCAACAACAAAGTATTTCCTTTTTCATTAGAATTTTGAAGAATTTTTTTTTTTTTTTAAACACACAAAAAAACTAAACCCTACACATACCAATATAAGCCCTACACTCGAAGCTCTAACCTCACATTATAACCGCCTCCTAAACCTTACACCTTACCCCGACATTACAAACTAAGTTGTGTATTTGGCTCTTATTCTTGTTGCTTATATTGTGGTTCCTTCTCCTCCTTGTGACTCCAAGATAAGAACCGTAAAACTGGAAATCAGAGCAAAATAAGAGATAAAGAATTGAATTTTCTCTACTTTGAATTTTTCACTAAAGTTTTATTTTCTTTTTTGAAAAAAAAACAACAATATTCAGTGTTCAAATAATAACACCATTAAGCTGTCTTAACTTCCACATATACAAAAGAGCAAAACGAAATCACACAAAAATCTGTAAATTAACCCTACATTTGGTGCTTGGAAAACCCTACAATAGAAGAAAACCCCACATTATAACATCCCTCCTCATACCAAACCCCACATTTTACAAATTGGTTATGGATTTGCTGTTATTTTTATTTTTTTCTTAAAAGAAGTTTTTAATCGGTAATGTAATGTATTCAATTTTTTAAAAATGTACCAAAAACTAAATCTTACGCCCATCAATATATATCGGACATCATAAACCCCAACCTCATTTTATCTTCTTCTTCTTTTACTTTGTCATTTACTTCTTTCATATTTTTTCCTTCAATTTTAACCATTTTTTTCTTATTCTTATCAAATTTTCTATTCTCTTTTTCTTTTCCTCTCTCATCATTGTCATCTTCTTGGTTTTTATTCGTTTTCCTCCTTTAATTTACAATGTGTTTTTCAATTGCTTGGTGTTCTTATTCTTCAATTTTTTTAACTTTTGATTTTTTCAACTTCTTTACTGTTCACATATTCTTCCATTCTTTTCTTCTTTTGTTTTGTTTGTTTTGTTTTTTTCGTCTTTGTTTTTCAACTCATCTTATTTATCAGTCTCGTCTTTCTCTTCATTTTCTTTTATTTATTTTCTCATCTTCTTATATTTCTTCTTCTTCATCTCCTCATACCTTTTTGTTATTTTTGTGTCAGGTGTACTTCTTTCATCTTCTTTATTTTATTTGTCTTTTGTAATATCTTAATTTTATAGATTTCTTTGTATTATCTTTTCCTACTTTAGTTTTATATCTTTATCCTCCGATTTTCTTCTTTCAAATTTTCCTTTTCATTCTCGGCTCTTATGTTCTTCTTCTTCATTATATATGTTTTGTTATCCAAATCCATCTTTTTGGGGCGTTATATTTTGATTCTTCTTCATGCATTCTTCGTCTACCTGGTAATATATTTCAGTATTGATTCAGTTTAAGACTCTTGACTATAAACAATCAAATACCTTAAACTCTTACCAGTATTGATTCCATCAAGAACCCCATATCTGAGGCGAATAGAAAAAGTTGAAACTGGATGCTAGGGCGATACTATCTCTCGCATAACTCTTCGATTTTCCAACACAATCTCCTTCTAAATTGTAGATTCACCAATATTGGATTTAGCGCCGCCTATCGCCCCCATCAGGTTGACGAACCATTTTTCTTCGCTCATCTACGGTTGTCGTTATCTTCTGATTCTGAATTTGTTTTCCTTGTTTTAGTTTTTTTTTGTGAATGTATTTTAGAATGGTACATATAAATTAACAATAAATGATTTTTAGTTTTGATATACTTCCATAATAATTCAAAATTTTAAAAACGCACCAAAAACTAAACCCTACATCCACCAATATAAACCCTACGTCCTAAACACCAAACCCAACATTATAACCCCCCCCCATCCTTCCCTCCCTCCCGTCCTCGCCCCACCCTCTCCTACGTAAACTCACATTACAAATTGGTTCTCAAGTTTTCTTTTATTTATTTATTTAATTTTTTAAAATAAGTTGTTTCATTTTTGTTTGTAATTGTCAATGTTAGTATATTCAAAATTTTAAATGCATCAATAATTAAACCCGACACCTATTAATATAAACCCTATCAGCTTGTTTATTTAACAAAAAACTTGAAACCCTAAAAATCAACATAGAATTCATTTGGAGATTCGAACGGTTTTTATGTTCTTACTTTTCAAGTCTTTTAAAAGATTATTATATAGTTGTAGGTAAAAAATAAATCCAAGAAAATCCAACATAGGAGATACAATAATATGATATTTGGGTTTAATTTCACGATACATTAAACAGAGAGTTAGATCAAATAAGTAAAACAAACATGAGGGCTGTAAATTGCTATTTGCTGCAAGATCTTCGGAAATAACAAAATTTACAAACTAAAAAGGGAGTCATCTACATCTTTTTGTCTTCTTCTAGTTATATTCTTGGATCTGTTGCAATATTATAACAACACATAAGAATAAGAGAAATCAACAAATGATACAAAACCTATAGCATATTATCTAAGACCTCTTGATCTCCATATAAATCAAAATTGGTTTTCAAGTTCTCTTTGAATCTAAGCAAGTTGTACGCTTGTGAAAACTATTTAAAGACAATGTTAGCAGAAAGCACAAATAAAACAAAAGATCAACCATAGATAGCTAAGAGCAAAGATAGCAAAGAGATAGATTATGGGAGATAAATTCTGACTCTTCTCTGTTAGGTTTATCAATATGTCAACGACTGCTGTTACAAATGATTAAAAAGTTAGGAAGGAGGTCAAATCATACCGTGTGAGATAATAGATATATAACAAAATCAAAACACATGACAACAGCTATTTATGTGATCAAGTTCTACTTCATAAGAAGTCAACTTCTTTTGTTTCTCGCTGAGCTTAGCTTGGGTTATGTTCAGCTTTGTATCAAGAACTTCCTTCATAGCTCTTGGTTATGCTGCGAAAACTAATCTCCTTCCTCTTGTTAAGAGGAGTGCCACCTAGAGCAGTGACTTCGACGGCTTTGGTCTTACCGTTGGTTCCCTGTGTGATGTCGAACTCAACCGCATCGCCAACAGTTAGACTCCGGAAACCTTGGACTAATTGGTGCAGAAGAATATCGGAAAGGTGTTGTTTTTAAGAGAAGAAGATTCTTGAAGAAGAACCTATGATTAATAGACGAATTAGGGATCATAGAGAGAGTCTTGCGACTAACGATATTTAGTGTTATCTAAAAATAAACCAGTCAAAAAATTCAGATAGCATGAAATCCGGAAGTCGGAAATTTGTGCAGAGAATCAATTTGAGTGAAGGTAGAGAACCAAATAAAATAACATGAATTCTGAAGTCTAACAAAACAAAGAGAGTTAAAAAATAACTACTAACATTACCAAAGTCGTAATCCATAATCCATCATAATAACGTTTTGTATGGAATGTAACGAAGACTTACATACATCTCGATGGGATCATGGCAGAGTTATCAGATTTAGAGGTACACAAAGCCATGGCTTGTAAGACTTTTTATATCAAATTAATTTTCGAACCTGTTTTTAAAGAAATCACAAAAACAGATTATTAGATACGAATGATAAAACATATTGGCAATCTAGCATAAAACGGAAAAGGAAGAACACATAGAAGATAGCTGTTTTTGTTAGTCACGGGCTCATGGCCATATATATAGAAATAGTTATTAGACCTAGGGTTCATATAATTTTTTTATAATAATAATTGTTAATAAAGGTATAATAATTAGAATTGATTCCAGACAAAAACATAAAATTATGTTCGAACAAATTCTCCACAAATCCTGATGTCACCAACATGTAACTCAGAGGATTTCATTACCTTTTGATGTATGGTAGAAGTTTTATGTAGCCAAAAATCTTCTGAATGTTGATCCAATCAAGTGATGCTTATAACGATTAAAATATTCAGAGATCAATAAACAACAAATAGGGACACAATTATCAATAACGTACCTGCTACGTCTTTATCGTGAGACATGAGCGTGAGACTGTCTTCAAAGCTTTTAGAACTCAAAAATTAGTTCACGATCAATTTTGGCCATTAGAAAAAGTAAGAATTTAAAGAATTAATTAAAAATCATATCTAAAAGTAAAAAACTTAAATTGCGATGATTTTTCTTATTGGTATCTATTTATATAGGAGAAAGTCGGTTAATAAACCTAGGGTTTTATCCTTTTTTCCCAAAATTGTGGTCCGATAATATGGTAGTTATGGTGTTTATTTTTATTTTTTAATAAATAATCAAATTCGTGAATAATAACAAAAAAGAACATTACAAAGATTTAATAATTAATTTTCATTAAGGGTATATGGGTAATCAACCAGCTGAGAATTAACGTGGTGGATCAAAACGAAATAATCACTTCCCAAATAATATATTAGATACATGATTATTCATGTTTATTGTTTTCCTTTCATGGATTAAAATAGGTTTGTTGATGTTTGTCTTTTCCCACCGTAGTGCCAAATTCGTAATTCAACCACTAAATATCTTAACACGTGGTAGCTAGCTAGGGAAGCAAGTCTTATTTCGTACGTAAGTGATAGTATCCAAAAATACGATCGAATGTATTCTTCTTTCGAGTATAAACGAAGTTTGTCGGCAAACAAAAAAAAGTATAAACGAAGTTTTTTTTTTCTGTTTTATTTTAAGAAGCTTAAAATCAAACAGAAAAAAAAAAAAACAAATTCAAAGATTACAGCAAAATGCATATTAACTACTATAATCTTCTACTCTACCAACCGAGCTAGGATCAGTCAGTCTAGAGTGTATAAAATAAGTTGCACATCCAAAGTTGAGAAGAATCTTGAACAATATAAAAGAGAATGAAACTTCTCCATCTAATTAATTTTAGGTTGAATGCTAAACTTAACATGTTTTAGAGTCTGATCCGGACACTCCCGTGACACGGCCCTGAAAAAGCCCGGACATTTGATCCTAAGATTAATGGTCTACATAATTTTCGAGAGGGGATATTGAGATACATGTAAAGATTAATGGGTTATAAAGCCTTAATCTCTAAAGAGTGTGTGTAAGCAGGCCGACCTTTAACATGTGCTCAAGCTACATCTGCATTGGATCCAATTTGCAAATTTTAATTATATTTTTAGGTCTTTTAAAAAAATTTAGAACCTTTTTGGCAGATTTTTCTTATTATACTATCAAAAAAAAAAATATAATTACATAGGGTCTACTAATTTCTTGAACCGTAGACCGAGTCTGTGTGTAAGATAAGTTCTACATCAAAAGTTGGAAAAGACTTTGAACAATATATAAGAAACCAAGATCTCTTCATCTATTGTCAATTAGTTTTAGGTTAAATGCTGAGAAAACTTAACAGAAGACTTGGGCACAAGCTACTGGTTCTGAAAGGAAGTTCTCGTCCATTGTGACAAGGTTATCAAATATAACAATCATTTCGAAATCGAAGGTCCCTGATCCTAAAGGGTTTACGACTGTTGATGAAGTGGCATTAGCCGCGCTATCATAGGCAACATTATGGATATACAGGATGAAATGTTTGCATGGTTTTTTAGGTTGATTCGGACCAACGAGATCATATCAGAAAGGAGTAAAACGAATAGGAAGAAGGGCAATAGGGATTTTGGAGATTTTATGTGTCATGGTTATGAAGTTTGGACCGTATAGTAGAAACGTGAGTAGTGATGTTGAATTATGAATATGAAGAAAGCTGTTGAAACCTTATTTATACACAATTAATATTTTATTTTATTATTTTGGTATATAATAATGGTTTTGAGAGGTGTAAAACGAGATTAGATCATGCCGGCATAAGAATCTTCGGACAGCAGAGAGGAGACCGAGGGGCAGGTGGAGCTTCTGATTTCCGAAGAAACAACCCAAGATCGGAGCTGAGTGACGACTGCTTTGGGAAATGCGTTAGAGAGAAAAAGTTATTAGGGCAAACTAGGGCGGATACAGAGTAATTAATACTCCCTCCATTTCAAAATACTTGTCATTCTAGCCTTATTTTTTTATATTCAAAATAGTTGTCGTTCTCACTTTCCAATGCAAAATTTAATACTCTCTCCGTTTCTTATTACTTGTCGTTCTAGGAGATTTCACGCAGATTAATAAAATAGATTAAAAACTCTATTATACCCTTAAAAAGCAAATTGACTATTAGTATTCTTCATTAGATCAAGGTTAAACTAGGTATTTAATATAAAATTTTGCATTGGAAAGTGAGAACGGCAACTATTTTGAATCAAATAAATAAGACTAGAATAACAAGTATTTTGAAACGGAGGAGTATAAAATACTTAGTTTAACCTTGATCTAATGAAGAATACTAATAGTCAATTTGCTTTTTAAGGGTATAATAGAGTTTTTAATCTATTTTATTAATCTGCGTGAAATCTACTAGAACGACAAGTAATAAGAGACGGAAAGAGTACTGTTTAGGACGCGATTTTGGAGTGAAAAATGAAATTGGACTAAAAAGGATTTTAAGGGAAAATAGTGTTTGGAGTTAAAATAGAACGAGAATGGAGATAGTCCAGCGAAACTTACGAAATCCGAAATTAAACTTTTAGGCAATAAATTGTCTAAATGTATGGAAGCCACATTTCAATACAAGTTTTGAACGTAAATACTTTAACAATAAAACAAAAGAACAAATTATGAATGAATGATTTAAAGAAAAAGAAACAAATTATGAATGAAAAAAAATCCTCAAGAAAACAAAAATTCCAGAAATAAAATAAAAAGAAGAAGAAGCCAAACTGTTAATTAGATGGATATATTTAACTGGAAATAGTGGGAAACAATTCGAACTTGTGGGTAACTGAATGATTTAACTGCAATTTTATATCTGGGGTCAATGACAACTGAATCTTGCTTGACAGAATTAAAGTCGAGAAATTCCCAAGAAAATATTGAAAAGTTTAGGGATATACTATCATATATTGAGACAAGAAAAATCTAACACGCCGAAATTGAATTAACAAGCCTATGCAAAGATGAACCATTACAGTCTTCCAGAATACCTATCTAAGTAGTGGTAGGCTTGACTTGTCATGTTGATCTTGGCCAAATATCCATTTCTCTCGTGGAATTATCTAACCATTCTTATTTGGTCGGTCGAAATGAATTATTTTTTCTTCCAATTTATTTTTGCCAACTAATATAGAAAATATGTTATCCTGTCTATTAACTCTTTATATAGCTCACACTCAATAATCCCTTAATATATCTAGAAAACTGATCTATAGCAAAAAAAGAAGGATCAAAATATATGGAGTGCTTTTCAAGGATACAAGTCATGGTATACATACTAGCTACAATAATAATGAAACTTTGTAATTTAGTTTTTGGTTTCTTTTAATCAATGAATGGTTGAGTGTAATGTACGTAGGCTTTAAATATTATTTGTTACTTAAACGCTCTTTAAATCCTATTTTAATATACTAATTTTGGCAATATGGCTGGGAAGCGAAAAATACCAACAGACTACAAATTTATTTTTATGCCAATTAATATAGCTGGGACAGCACTTTCAGATTTGGCATAAAAATAAATTTGTAGTTGGTTGGTATTTTTGTAACAAAATAGTCAGAAAACTCCATATGTCTCTCAACCCAATTTTGTAAGAAATAATAATTATGTATATATTAAAAATCAAAAGTTAATTTTCATATAAATAAAGGTTGCAAGCCCTCGCTCCCAGTATCCACAAATCAACAAGAACAACACTACCGACTCAATTAAGCTTTGTTCGAAAGAAAGAAAAACAACACTACGTATCGACTTTCTACTATACTCTCTAACCATGGCAAATCAAATATTCAAAAACCTAATCACCTTTTTATTCGCTTTAATCACCTTTTTATGTCATTTATATGATTTTTAACATTACATGAAACGGTTAACCAATGCTGGTAGTCTAGTGGTTCCCGCTGAAGAAAAAGTTTTTTTTTGTTGGTTGATCAGGCCAGTGATCGATTAATCTCGACCATATATAGAATTATCTAAACCTTTTTCATTTGTACGTTTAATCGAAGTGGTGTCATGCTTTATGCCCATTAGAAAACGCGATAAATGTGCTATTCCACGGCTACACTCACCTGAGAAATTAGTTGGGTGTTTACCCCCTAAGTTATATAAAAAAGAAAAAAAAAATTAAAAACATTAGCAGAAACCATGCATGTGATTTCTTGAAGTTTTTTTTCTTCGAAGTTTCTGTGACTATTGACCTATTGTAAGGTTAAATCTCTGTTGACTTTCTACTTTTCTACCATTCGAGGTTCCCTGGACCAGTTTCTTCCTTTAAATCAAAATAGGCATTATACGTTCCGATGTTCAGCATGTCTTTTAGTCTTTAGGTTTAACTCCGAAGTATAGGAAAATGGAAGATGGATAAAGTTAAGAAACAATAACAAAACATAAGAGTACCATTTTATTATAAACGTTACAAACAGTGGACAATTGGAACAACGATAACAACAGACATAGAAAGCGATAAAAAAAGGTCAACACACAAACATCAAACGCAAGACATCTGTATTAGTTGTAACATTCATAGAGTTTAATAATCATTTTGAGACGGAAATACTTTTGGCCTTGAATGAGATCACTTGAGAACGTAGCAACCCCACGAGTCATGAGGAAGTCCCCAGTCCCACCAATGATCGCTAGGTCTCTTGTCGGCTGCGTCATTGGATTTGCATCCAATATGGTGAACGTTCCTTTGTGTTGCGTGGAGTTGAAAACCAATGTGCAAGCGACCCACGTGTTGTAATTTGACTTCTTGTTGTAAAAGAAGAAGCCTTGGGCACGAGCCACTGGTGTCGAGAGGTAGTTCTGGTCCGTTGTGACAGGGTTGTCGAAGATAACAATCTTTCCGAAATCGAAGGAGCCTAGTCCTAAAGGGTTTACGACTGTTGATGACGTGGCATTAGCCGCGTTATCAGTGTCGTAGGCAATGTTGTGGTGGTATAAGACGAAACTCTTACATGGTTTTTTCAGGTCGAGTGGTTTTTGGACCGATAAAACTTTATCAGTGAGTAGTAGTGAAATCAATAGGACGAAGGACAATATTTGTTTGTAGTTTTGATTCGCCATGTTTAGAGAGTTTAGAGAAAGGAGTAGTGTTGATTAGTGGATTTGAAGAGGGCATATGAAACCTTATTTATACATAAATGTCTTATACTGTTTTTATTTTATTTCATTATGATATAAAAATGAGTTTGAGAGAAGCCATATACTGGGGTTGTTGATATTTGTCTTTTCCCACTTATACTGACAAATCAGTAAATCAAAATTGGATTTTATTGATTTTGTGGCGAGAGGGGTCGATAATTAATATAATTATTAATAACGCAACCAAATTTATTGATTTATAAATAACCATTTGTCTTAATTTTTATTTAGTTAATATTTTAATACATGTGTAGGAATGCAGTCTTATTTCGTACCTAATTGATAGAACTAAATTTTAATAATTAAATAACTGAATCCTAATCAAAACCAAAACATATCAAGCCTATTTGCACAACATTTGGCTATTTATTTTAATAAACCAAAAACCAAAAACGAACAGAAAATCAGAAAACCAAAATAACTGAATAAAATATTGGATTATCAGTAGTCATACAAAGGTCCATGGTTGGAATCAAATGACAAGAATGTATGTGAATCATTTCAATATAGTGTCTTTCATGAATGTGAATCGTTTCATTTTTTAATCGCTTTCGGCAGCCACTGACGTTTGCAAATAACATTTAGATTTAGTTAAGTAAATGACAAGCTATGAAGAATTGTTTTTTATTTATTAAACTAGAAACATTCAAAGCTAAAATTGTTGAAGTGTTGCAATCATAATGATTCTCAGCAACTTTCTGTTGAAAAGTAAATAAAAAATTGCAAGTATTGACTACTAATTTCAGAACATTTTATTTGAGTAAAAAGTAAAAACCCAAAAATATTTCTGTATTTCTTTTGATTTTAGGTTAAAAACAACCTTTTATCGAATTTTTTTTTTGATACTTTGATTTTTTTATGATTTACATTTATACTATTTTAATACTCCCTCCGTTTCAAATTAGTTGTCGTTTTGGCAAAATGTATCTGCAAATATTTGGACGTATCTGGACGTGTTTTGCATTGCAGATACGTCCAAATATTTGCAGATACATTTTGTCAAAATGACAACTAATTTGAAACGGAGAGAATAGGGTACTTTCATTTAGTATAACTCAGATTTAAAAAAAAAAAAAAAAAAAAAAAAAACTGAAGTTATATGACTGCATAGTTAACTCATTTTGCATAAGGTAAATAAGTATAGACTAATTTTTATTGTGTGTTTCTATATAGTATAACATATATTTAATCAAACACTGTTAACAAATTTGAAAAATTCAAACCATATATGTAAAACAAATATGCAGCTATTTGTCAATAAGAAAAGTAATCTAGAAAGAGACAAAATGATATATCATAGCACAGATGTGTGTTGTCTAAAAAAATTTACTTTACTGAATAAAATGGTTATAAACGGCTTTGATCAGAGGTTATTCTCGTACTCTGATTGGACGCTGCATGAATCCAGCGGCTCAGGATGTGCAAGCACTGCTACATCACATGCCCCGCTTTTGGAAGATGGAAGACAGAGTCGCAGGCGCAGAGCTGGGATTGGGGCGGTTCCAATTCGACTTTGACAATGAGGAGGATATCATTGAGGTGTTTAAGCTAGAGCCATTCCACTTTGACTACTGGATGGTCTCATTGGTGAGGTGGGAACCGGTGGTGGACCCATCATATCCATCTGCAATCAAGTTCTGGGTGAGGATGATGGGGATTCCGCTTCATTTTTGGGCGAAACCCACGTTTCGGAGTATTGGTGAAGCTCTCGGTGAAGTGCTAGAGGTGGATATCGATGAGGGGAGGGTGAAAGTGTGTCTTGACAGGTACAAACCTCTTACGTTTGAGACAACGGTGGAGTTCCACAGCGGTGAGGAGACTCTGGTGGCCCTCAGGTACGAGCGGCTCTTTGGTTACTGCCGAGAGTGCTTCAGCCTCTGTCATGATGTCAGCCAGTGCCCGACGCTTCGGAGAGCTAGAGAAGAACGGGAGACTCAGAGGAGAAGAGATGAGAAGCCAGACGGTGGTGCTATGAGCTATAAGGGAGTGGTGATTAATGGCTCAGGTGGGGAAAATGGGAATGTGAGAAAGTCACAGCCCAATGGCGGAGATACGAAGGGAAAGGGGAAGTTGGAGGAGGTCCGGGAAGAACACATTCCGAGGAAATGGAAAGCATGGTGGGGAGAGCTCAGGCTCACAGCGGAAACCGGTGGGATACATCCCTCCGGAACAGCGCAAGCGGATCAATAGACCGACTGCGGCGTTGAAATTCATCGCGGCTCCGGCGGCAACAAATATGGTGACAGCAACGAAGGACCCAAGCCCCAGCCACCATTCGGCAAAGAAGGTTCGGAAAGCCCTGGATTTCAATGCGGTTGTGGCAGGTGATGAAGAGGCGGGAAGCAACACCAATCATGCGGCGAATGAAAGGGTGGCAGATGATATCGTGCCGGTAGATGAAACGTTGGCTCAAGAGGAGGGAGAAGATGGTGAAACTTGGTGGAATGAGGTGATTGAGGAAGAAGCAGGGGAGGAGGAAGCAGGGGAGGAGCTTATGGAGGAGGAAGAGAATCCGATGGAGACACAAGGCAGTAACGATATGCAGATGGAGGTCAGCGATAATGGGGGAAACCTCCTTGCTGTTGAACAATTTGTTGAAGTGGAAGCCAAGGAAGTGGGGAAGAGCAAGGTGGGGGAGAGGAAAACTGGTGTCCAGAGGAAGAAGGCGGTTAGGGCAGCTGTAGGTGTGGCCGGCGGTCCTCTACGGCGAATGATTCATGGCGCTAAAACACCTAGAAGAAAGACGTCGGCCAAAGAGACACAGCGCCCGGGAGAGAAATTGGCGGGAAGGGACAAGGAACCGGAGAAAGATCCATCGGTGGGATCCGGGACAGATTTTAAAGCCGTTTAATGCGAGTACTCAGCTGGAACTGCCAAGGTCTTGGCAATCGCTTTACAATAAGCTATCTTCGGGAAGTCTGGTGGAAGTTCCGTCCGGAATTTTTATTTCTTTCTGAAACTAAGCAAGATTTTAATTTTCTGCAACAATTTCAATTTCACTTTGGTTTTGATCATTTGTATACGGTTGACCCATGTGGCACTAGTGGCGGTCTAGCCTTATTTTATAATAATAATTTTAATGTTTCAATTATTACTTCTTCCAAGAATTTAATTGATACACAAGTCACTATTGAAGGAAAAACTATGTTTATGTCTTTTGTTTATGGAAATCCAGTCCCAAAACAAAGAGACTATTTATGGGAAAAGTTAACTAGAATCGGTATCTCACGGGATGATCCTTGGTTTTTGATTGGTGATTTAACGAAATTACGGGAAATCACGAAAACAGGGAGGTGCAATCAGATATGCTTCAACATTTATGTCTTTTAATCTGATGATAGACGACTGCGGTCTAGTTGATTTTCCAACTCATGGCAACAAATTATCATGGCGGGGAAAGAGATGGGGAAAAATTGTACGGTGCCGTTTAGATAGGGCTTTGGCCACAGAGGATTGGCATGACCTCTTTCCCAAGTCACATGTGGAATATCTAAAAATGGTAGGATCGGATCACCGACCGATCCTGGCAACCATAGATAATAAGATCCCTAAAGCGCGGCGGCAATTCCGATTTGATAAACGATGGATTGGACAAGATGGATTTTCGGAGGCAATTAAACGAGGTTGGTTGGAGAATCAAACAAATGCGGAATCAAATGTAGTGGATATGATCCGTAAATGCCGTCATGAAATTTCTCGATGGCGGCACGAAAATAAACCATATGGAAAGGAAAAAATAGCGGAACTACAGAAAGCTCTTGAAGAAATTCAAAATGATGATCTTCGAACCCAGGAAGATCTGGATGAAATCACACAAAAATTGAAGGAAGCTTACCGAGATGAGGAACAATACTGGAAGCAAAAAAGCCGTAATCTCTGGCTTAAGGATGGGGATTTAAATACAAAATTTTATCATGCAACCACGAAACAGAGAAGAGCGATAAACAGGATGGTCGGTTTACATGATAAGACGGATAACTGGGTTACCGGGGAAAAAGAGATGGAAAAGGTGGCGGTTGATTATTTCTCGGATTTATTTACGACTACTTCCCCAGATGATTTCACGGACATACTTGAAGGTATTCCAGCGGTGATCACGGAAACCGATAATGCACTGCTAATGCGCCCAGCGTCGGAAGAGGAAGTGCGGGCGGCTCTGTTTCTGATGAACCCGGAGAAAGCTCCCGGACCGGACGGGATGACGGCCTTATTTTTTCAAAAATCATGGCCGTTAATAAAAACGGATATTTTGGGGCTTATTAATGATTTCTTGATAACGGGAGCCTTTGATGACAGATTAAATTTGACGAACATCTGCTTAATCCCAAAGACAGAGCGTCCTACCCGGATGACGGAACTGCGCCCAATTAGTCTATGTAATGTGGGCTATAAAATTATCTCTAAAGTATTATGTGAGAGGTTGAAAACGGTACTATCCCAGCTAATTTCGGAGACCCAGTCAGCTTTTGTCCCAGGGAGACTGATCTCGGACAATATTCTGATAGCACAAGAAATGTTTCATGGCCTAAGGACAAACAAGTCTTGTAAGGGAAAGTATATGGCGGTAAAAACTGATATGAGCAAAGCGTATGATCGAGTTGAGTGGCAATTTGTTGAAGCCACAATGCGGAAGATGGGATTCGGAGAACGATGGATCGGGTGGATCATGAAATGCATAAAGTCGGTTGTGTATAAAGTACTCATCAACGGGCAACCACGGGGAAAAATAACTCCGAATAGGGGCCTACGTCAGGGAGATCCTTTATCTCCCTACATCTTTATTCTCTGTACAGAAGTTTTGATATCAAATCTTAAACGGGCAGAATCTGTTAAATCTCTAACGGGTCTGAAGGTGGCTCGTGCAAGCCCACCAGTATCACATTTACTATTTGCGGATGATAGCTTATTTTTTTGCAAGGCATCGGTTGAGGAGAGTGCAGTTTTACTACAAATTCTTCAGAACTACGAACGGGCATCAGGCCAAAAAATAAATTTTGATAAATCATCTATCCAATTTGGCCATACGGTGGAGACAACGGTACGTGCGGAGATTCATCAGATGTTAGGTATACATAAGGTCGGGGGAGTTGGTAACTATTTAGGTGTCCCAGAGAGCTTGGGGGGTGCCAAAACAAAGATTTTTAGTTTCTTGATCGATAGACAGCAGAAGCGGATAAACGGCTGGACATCTAAGGTTCTATCTAAAGGGGGAAAAGAAGTAATGGTCAAGTCTGTACTTTCGGCGATGCCGACACATGTCATGTCATGTTTTAGATTACCAAAGGGAGTAACAAATAAACTAACAAGTGCGGTAGCAAATTTTTGGTGGAGCACAAATTCCCAAACACGGGGTATGCATTGGCTCGCGTGGCGGAAGCTGTGTCGACATAAAACTGACGGGGGACTGGGATTTAGGGTAATAGAAGATTTTAACACAGCGCTACTCGCAAAACAGTTATGGCGCCTAATGGATAACCCGGATTCCCTGTTTGCTAAAGTTTTCAAGGGGAGATATTTTCGGAACTCAACCCCCTTGGACCCAATTCGCTCTTACTCTCCATCTTATGGATGGCAGAGTATCGTTTCAGCTCGACCTCTGGTATGCAAAGGACTTATTAAAAGAGTTGGTTCAGGTTCATCTATATCTGTATGGTATGACCCCTGGATTTCCGATTCTTGCCCGAGGCCAGCTATCTGTAAAGGAATTAATTACTACCCACACCTCACGGTGAATCAGTTAATTAATTCCCAGACCTCAACGTGGAATCGACCACTATTGCAACAATTTTTTGAGAGTGAGGAAATCACTCGCATTACGGGTATACCAGTGGCTACTGGATATAAACCCGATACCTGGGGCTGGTTTTATACAACAACGGGTCGGTATACGGTTAAATCGGGATATACTGTGCTACAGGAGCTTTCCGATGAGGGGACACTACCAGTCTTTGGACCGGACACTCGGAGATTGCAAGCGCAATCCTGGAAGGTTAAATGCACCACAAAACTCCAACATTTTCTCTGGCAAATTATTACCGGATGTTTATCGGTTGGCGCACGTTTATGTAGTCGGGGAATGCGTGTGGACCCACTGTGCGTGAGATGTGGTATGGGAGATGAGACTATCAATCATATGCTCTTTGAGTGTCCCCCGGCCCGACAGGCCTGGGCACTCTCTCCCATACCTACGCCTCCCCAGTTTTTTCCTACGGGAGCACTGTACTCAAATATGGCACATCTATTCTGGAACCTCCCAGACAATGATGACATGTTGATGTATCCATGGTTACTCTGGTTTATTTGGAAAGCTCGTAATTACAAAGTTTTCTCAAATGATGATCAAAATCCGCAGGAAGTAATGGAATCTGCGATAACGGAATCCCGGGCATGGGTAGCAGCACAAACGGTAGCAGACGGAGTATCCAATAGTATCTCCATCAACTCCGGCCACGTCCCACCGGGAGAGTGGTGTCAGATTGATGGAGCGTGGAAAGTGACAGACAGTCGGGCTGGACTTGGATGGTACAATTTTGACCCGGATTCGGGCTCTGTCCTGATGGGGTCTAGCAACCTACGGCGGGGTTTATCTCCTCTTCAAACAGAATTGGAGGCATTGGTTTGGGCTATGCAAAGTATGCTAGTCCATAACAAACGACGGATGAATTTCCAAACAGATAGCGCTCAGTTGGTGAAGATGGTGTCCAAACCTGCCGAGTGGCCAGCTTTTGCGATCTTGCTTGAAGAAGTGGAGCATTGTAGAGGGATGTTCCAGGCGTTCTCCCTCACATACATTCCCAGAACGAAGAACACAAGGGCAGACAAGCTAGCACGGAGTGCTCGAGCTCAGCCCCATGATGTGTATTACATAAACTCAGTTCCCCCGATTCCGCTTCCCGGACCGGTATAGGAATTTAGGCTGTTGACAAAAAAAAAAAAAGGATGAATAACTGAGTATATTTTTAATTAATATACTTGTAAGAAACTTAAACGATTTAAGTGCAACTCAAGTATTTTGGTCCAATTACTGAGAGTTATAAACTGAAATCTGAAAACTTAAATCCCAGAAGTCAAATAGTCGACAGAAATATCGTAATGAAACTTAAAAATAGAAGTGCTTGAAGAAAAAAAACATCCGACCTGCCGGAATCGAACCAGCGACCTAAAGATTACAGCTACTACTACAGTCTTCCGCTCTACCAACTGAGCTAAGGTCGGTTTGTGATATCGTAATACATTAAAATATCTTAACAAACTTGAGTTACCTAGAAAAACGTTGTAGACTTGAAGGCTTATTTCTGAGTATGGAAAAAGAGCATAGAATGAGATATAAAACACCAAATATTTCATCTCGCAACATTCATCATACATCTGTAATGGCTTAAACTAATGTTTATGAACGGCATGCACTTGTTTACAACATAATATTTTGTCAGTGTTGGTGTACAACTTGGTAAACAAAACACAAGAGTACCATTTTATAAGAAAACATTACAAACATATTACACAGGCCTGATATTACAATACCATTTGTGAAAACTTAGAACAACAATACAGACGTAGAAAGCAAGAAAATGCCTACACTTATGCACGAACATCAAACTCAAGACATACACTATATATTAATTAGTAGTAACATTCATAGAGTTTAACATCCATTTTGAGACGGAAATACTTACTAGCTTCAATGAGTTCGGTCTACAAAAGGATCCCCCGAGTCATGAAGAAATCACCGGTCCCACCAACAATCGAGAGGTCTCTAGTTGGCTCCATGATCGGATTCGCATCCATCATGGTCAATGTTCCTTTGTGCTCTGTCGAATTGAATACCAATGTGCAAGCCATCCAAATGTTGTAATCCGTCTTCTTGTTGTAAAAGAAGAAGCCTTGGGCACGAGCCACCGGTTTCGAGGTAGTTTTGGTCCATCGTCACAGGGTTGTCAAAGATTACAACATTACCGAAATTGAATTTTCCCAGTCCTGAAGGGTTTACGACTGTTGCGGACGTGGCATTAGCCGCGTTATCACTATCGTAGGCAATGTTGTGTTAGTAGAAGACGAAACGCTTACAAGGTTTTTCCAAGTTGAATGATCTTTGGATCGATGAAACTGTATCAGAGAGTAGTATATCACCTTCTTGGTAGTTAACGATAGTTGTATCTTATCAATAAAATTGTATAATCTGTGCCTCACCTTCTTGTTAATTTTTTTTTATGTTCGTTTGCTAGTATAAACAATAAATTTTCGACTTAATAAACATAACACAAGAGTGCCATTTTATTATAAAATGTTACAAACAGTGGATACTTGGAACAACGATAATTAACCACAGACGTAGAAAGCGATAAAAAGGTCTAACGCAAGACATCTGTATTAGTTATAACATTCGTAGAGTTTAATAACCATTTTGAGACGGAAATACTTTTGGCCTTGAATGAGATCAGTCGAGAACGTACAAACCCCACGAGTCATGAGGAAGTCACCAGTCCCACCAATGATCGATAGGTCTCTGGTCGGCTGCGTCATCGGATTCGCATCCATTATGGTGAACGTTCCTTTGTGCTGCGTGGAGTTAAACACCAATGTGCAAGCGACCCACGTGTTGTAATTTGACTTCTTGTTGTAAAAGAAGAAGCCTTGGGCACGAGCCACTGGTGTCGAGAGGTAGTTCCGGTCCGTTGTGACAGGGTTGTCGAAGATTACAATCTTTCCGAAATCGAAGGTCCCTAGTCCTAAAGGGTTTACGACTGTTGATGACGTGGCATTAGCCGCGTTATCGGTATCGTAGGCAACGTTGTGGTGGTATAAGACGAAATTCTTACATGGTTTTTTCAGGTCGAGTGGTTTTTGGACCGATGAAACTTTATCAGAGAGTAGTAGTGAAAATAACAGGAAGAAGGAGAATATTTGTTTGTAGTTTTGATTTGCCATGTTTAGAGAGTTTAGAAGAAAGGAGTAGTGTTGATTAGTGGATATGAAGACTGAGGGCTTTTGAAACCTTATTTATACAGAATTTTTATGTTTTTTTTTTTAATATTTCATTACGATATAAAAATGGGTTTGAGAGAAGCCATATACTGGGGTTGTTGGTATTTGTCTTTCCCCACTTATACTGCCAAATCAATAAATCAAAATTGGCTTTTACTGATTTTGTGGGCAGATAATTATTAATAACGCACCCATTTATTGATTTATAAATAACCATTTGTCTTCATTTTTATTTAGTTAATATATTAATACATGTGTAGGAATGCAGTCTTATTTTGTACCTAATTGATACCAGAACTAAATTTTGCTAAATCACAATCAAAACCAAAACATATCAAGCCAAATTGAACAATATTTGGTTATTTATTTTTATAAACCAAGAACCAAGTTGAACAGAAAAGAAAAGCATATCAGAAAACCAAGATAAACAGTCATACAAAGGTCCATGCATGGTTGAAATCAAATGACATTCTTGCTTTGGCTCTAAGATTACATATAGGGCCGTGCCTGCGTAAGGAAAAAAGAAGCATCCGCCTCTAATCATATATGGAGTGTTTGTTAAAAGAATAAGAAAACTTTTTGACAGCTTTGTTTTGGTTGACAGAATTAAGATAAATTCACAAAGAGGCTTGTTCTACGCAATTTAGACGATAGAACCCAAAAACAAAAACAAAACAAAACCAAATGGCTCTCTTAATTAGAATGAGTTATCATTACAAATAGTAGTGTTTTTTTTATGAATTTGAATCATTTTAATTTTTAATATATCGCTTTCGATCGGCAGGCACTATATTTAAATAAAATAAAAGACAAGCTATGAAGATTTGTTTTTAATTTATAAAACTAGAAACATCCAAAGCTAAAATTGTTGAAGTGTAGCAATCGTAATTATTCTCAGCAACTTCTGTTTAAAAGTATCTTATATATAATAGGAGAGTATTCTCTCCATCTAGCATATCTACATCAACAAATAAATCAATAAATTATACTAAAATATTTGATGCATTACTATTCATATTTCTTTACATATAATCCAATGAAATACATAAAATAAATTTTTTAAAAGAATACATAAAAATTAATTAAGAAATATAAAGTATGTGATAACTTTGTATCAAATTTTAATAGAAATTTTAGTATAAATTAGAACATTCTTAATGTGAATAATTAGATTAACTCAAAATGTAACCACCAAATTAAATATTAAACAATCATAATTTAAATCAACGAATACACAAAACACAAATCTTTTTACAACAACTCCCCGCTTGCTTCATTCCCTAGTATAAAAAATTGGAGAGTATTGACTATTAATTTCAGAACCTTTTATTTGAGTGTTACAATTTTTCATTTTCAATTATTTTTAATAACTCACTTTAATATATTCATTCTCAAATCATTAATATCATTATTATTTAGTATATTATGGCCCTTACAGAGTTACAGGTTTGCATTGTCTTCATACTTATCTTCTCAAATAAATTCACATAAATATTTGGTTTCCATATTTTTATCCCACATAGTTGAAATATAACTTTAAATTTCGTCAATTCTCATATATAGTTTACTTTCTACGTATGTCTAAAGATTTGTTTTATTGTATTTCTTTCTCTGTATACAATGTTAAATTCTTTTTTTTTTTTGTTCATAATACAATGTTAAATTCTATGTATATTTTTTAATGAGTTAAAGTTATTCGTATGTCTAAAATTATGTCTTTTGTTTGAAATACTCAATCAAATAAATGGATTTTTCCTAAATTTAAACCTGCAATATATATGTGGATTATGTTTGTTAATCTGATTTCTTATGATTTATATTTATACTTTCATTTGGTATACTGTAACTTGGAATTTTTTGAAAAAAAACTGAACATATATATGGCTGCATATGTTAACTCGCTTTGCATAAGGTTAATAATATATATAATAGTGCTTTATTGTTTGTTTTTATATAGTATATTATATATTTAATTACACACTATTAACAAATTTGAAAAATTCAAACTATGTAAGACAAGAATGAAGCTATTGTCAACAAGAAAAGTAATCCAGAAAAAGACAGAATGAATGTCATAGTACAGAGATGTTTCGTCATTTTTACTTTGATTACTGAATAAAATGGTTGTAAATTTCATTTTAGAATATAAAATGGTCATATTAGCTAATTGACCCATCTAAAGTTGTGAGTATATATAAACCCTGTGAGAAACTTAAACGATAATAGTGCAACTTTAGTATTTGGGTCCAGTTACTGAAAGTTATAACTAAACTCTGGAAACTTAAATCCCAGAAGTCAGAAATATCTTAACGACTTTTAAAAAGCGAAGTGGGTTGAAACTTGAAAGAAAAAAAAATCCGACCTGCCGGAATCGAACCAGCGACCTAAAGATTACAGCAACCACTACAGTCTTCCGCTCTACCAACTGAGCTAAGGTCGGTTTGTGATTACATAAAACATTTAAAACACTTTATTAGATTAACTTACCTAACGATGGGCTTGTTATTTCCGAGTATGGAAAAAGAGGATATAATGAGAAGATAAACCCTGTTAGAATAGATAATTATCCCCTTCATATTATATTATTTACTTAGATCGTAAGTTTTGTTTCACCGCCTTACCCATCAACCGGCTGTAATATTATAAGACTTTTTACTTCCTATATATAGGCTACCTCCGTATTGTAACATAACATAAGTTCAATAATAAGAAACTTTAATACTCTCCCTATCCTCTATATACGAAACCACTTTCATCTCTTCTCACATCTCTCTCCCTTACGTACGACCATCACCATCTCTTCAACTCTCTCCACACATAGTAACTCTCCATCTCTCTCTCTCTCTCTCTTATTAGTAATCAATCCACTATATCAATATATAGTGGTACATCAGTTTATTTATATCACGTTATCAGCACGAACTGCTTCTTATATTCTGTCTATTCAATTTTATTGTTTATATGCTATGCCGGGATGGTAGGCTATGCCTTATCCGAGCCGATTGTTATGGTAGGCTTTGTCTCCACAATCGAAAATCATTTCTTATAGCCGGGATGCTAGGTTGTACCTACTCCGAGCAAATGATCATATGGTAGACTATGTCACCTTAGATCATATAAGAGTTGATGGTAAAAACCTCCTCTTGGAGTAGAGGCTTTACCTCTCCTGAATATTTACTTTTCTGTAATTTACTTTTTCGCTATTTACTTTCTGCCATTTAAATTCAGCACCTTAATTTTTACTAAATTATGCTGTTATAATGCTCAAATTTTTATTGCAAATTTGAATAATTGAATTTATATTAATGAACTGTATATGATCTATGCAGATATCATGTCAAATTTGGCTAAGCTCGAAATTTCCGCCCTTGATATTTCTGGAAACAATTATATGACATGGGCAATAGGTGCAAAAATGCATCTAAAAGGAAATGGGCTTCTTGATGCCATTGACAAGTCGAAAGAAGACATCCGATGAGAAAAAGGCGAAAGCCATGATCTTTCTACTTCATCACATCCACGATGGTTTAAAAGATGAATACATCACTAAAGAAGATCCTGCGGATCTTTGGCAATCTTTGAAAGAAAGATTTGACCATCAAAAATATATAGATTTGCCCAAAGCCAAATACCAGTGGCTACACCTCCGATTTCAGGACTATAAAAGTGTTGTTGAATATAATTCTGCTATGTTCAGAATAATTTCCAAATGGTGCTATGTGGAGAAAATGTGAGCGATTATGATATGATTGAAAAAACGCTCTCCACATTTCACCCTGGAAATATAGTCCTGCAACAACAATATCGGGCAAATGGCTATACTCGTTATTCAAAATTGATGGAAGTTCTCCTTGTTGCAGAACAGAATAACGAGCTTGTGATGATGAACCATCAGACTCGTCCCACTGGAGCTGCTCCATTCCCAGAAGCGAATGTAGCATCGTCCAGCCAAAATAATGGACGAGGACGTGGACGTGGATATGGTCGAAACCGAGGTCGTGGCCGTGGCCGTGGACGTGGTCGGGGACAAGGAAAAGAGTACCGTCCCGACGAGTCCAACAATGAAAGGAATATAAAAGATCTCGAGCAAATGATTACGGCCGAGATTCTAAAAAGCAAAAAGAAAGTGTTTGCTACAGATGCGGCATGAAAAATCACTGGGAGCGTACTTGTCGTACACCCAGACACTTAGCCGATCTATACCGGGAATCACAAAAAGCAAAGGAGAAAGAAAGTGAGACTAACTTCATCTCCAATGAACCCGGTCCTTCCTTTCACGGCCTAAACGATGATACTCATCTTGATGTTTCAGATTTTCTGGTTGACTCCGAAGAGATCAACGGAAAAACAGACGACTAAAAGGACATGATATACATAGTTATCTTCCTGAATAAGATAACCTAAAAGTTTGATCTTTTTGTTGTAAAATAGTTTTTAATGTGGTATTTTGTATCTTGTGATATAAGCTTTGTATTGTTTAATACTTATTAATGCATCTTTGTTAAATCCAGAAATGACGAAATTTGAGACTCGTGATGGAGATATGTGTCTTGCAGACAGTGCTACAACGCACACAATACTCAAAGATAAAAGATATTTCTCCGGTCTCAAAATTAAAGATTCCGTTGAAAGCGTGAATACCATTTCTGGTGGTGCAAAAATAATATTGGGCTCTGGAAGAGCCAATTTTTCAATGCCAAGGGGAACAAAGTTTGAAATAAATGATGCATTATATTCCCCGAAGTCTTATAGAAACTTATTGAGTTTCAAAGATATCCGTAAAAATGGATATCACATAGAGACTATAAATAAGAATGGCATTGAAATCCTTTGCATCAAATCGGAGGGACAAATATTGGAAGAGTTGAAAATGATGTCCTCCGGATTATATTGCACAAATATTACTCTGACTGAATCATATGTTACAGTAAACCCGAAGTTTACTAGTACATTCAAAATCTGGCATGAAAGGCTAGGGCATCCAGGTTCAGTCATGATGAGAAAAATTGTGCAAAACTCAAATGGCCATCCGTTGAAATACGGGAAAATTTTAGAAACGGGCGAGTTCATATGTAATGCATGTTCTCAAGGAAAACTCATAACTCGGCCATCACCAGCGAAAGTTGGGAATGAATCCCCTGTGTTCTTAGAGAGAATACACGGTGATATATGTGGGCCTATTCACCCACCATGCGGACCGTTTCAATACTTTATGGTATTAATTGACGCATCAAGTAGATGGTCACATGTGTGTCTTTTGACAACACGAAATACGGCTTTCGCAAGATTCATTGCCCAAATAATCAGGTTGAGAGCACAGTTCCCTGATTATACTATTAAGAAAGTGAGATTAGATAACGCTGGTGAATTCACTTCACAGCCTTTAATGACTATTGCATGTCATTGGGAATCGATGTTGAGCATCCGGTTCCACATGTCCATACACAAAATGGCATGGCTGAGTCTTTGATTAAACGGTTGCAACTGATTGCAAGACCGTTAATAATGAGAACAAAACTCCCAATTTCTATATGGGGTCATGCTATTTTGCATGCTGCAGCGTTGCTCCAAATACGACCAAGTGCTTATAATATATATTCCCCATTGCAATTAGCATCTGGTCAGGAGCCAAACGTATCCCATCTCCGTGTTTTTGGTTGTGCGGTTTATGTTCCGATAGCACCGCCACAAAGAACAAAAATGGGGCCACAAAGGAGATTGGGAATATACGTTGGGTATACGTCACCGAGTATTATTCGGTATCTTGAACCTCAAACTGGTGATATGTTTACGGCACGTTTTGCCGATTGCCATTTTAATGAAGATGAATTTCCAGCGTTAGGGGGAGGAATTAAAGAGGTTCCAAAAGACCTCACATGGTGTACACCGAATTTGTTACACTTTGATCCCCCGACAAAACAACGCGAATTGGAAGTTCAGAAAATTATACATTTACAAAATATGGCAAATCAATTACCAGATTCGTTCACAGATACAAAAAGAGTGACGAAATCATATATACCCGCTGCAAACGTTCCATCAAAGATAGATTTCCTAAGGAACAAAATGATGGAAGCATAGCAAATGCACCCAAAGTCCAATTAAAGAGGGGGAGGCCGATGGGCTCTAAAGATAAAAATCCCCGAAAGAAAAAGAATTTGGGAGAAAAGGTTCAAGAAGAACCTTGTAAAGAAATATGTCCTGAAGACATAAACAAACTGGTTTTTGAAGAACCAGAGAAAGAGATTCGTCCAGAAGACGAACATGATACAGAAAAATTTGAGATTTCCATCAACTTCGCCCAAAATGGAAAAGTATGGACAAGAAATGAAATAGAAGATGATGATGGAATATTCTCTTTTTCTGTATACAAAGAATTGATCATGAAAGTGATGATCCAGATCCAGAAACAATATCAGAGTGTCTGAAAAGACCTGATTGGGAGAAATGGAAAATGGCCATCCAAGCTGAATTACTCTCCCTCAATAAAAGAAGTGTTTTTGGACCTATTGTCACAACTCCTGAGAATACAAAACCCGTCGGGCACAAATGGGTTTTTGTAAGAAAAAGAAATGAGAAAAATGAGGTCACAAGATATAAAGCCCGACTTGTGGCTCAAGGTTTTTCTCAAAGACCGGGAATTGATTATGAAGAAACATATTCCCCGGTAATGGATGCCATAACATTCAGATTTTTGATGAGCTTAGCAGCGTCTCAAAATCTTGAAATGTATCTCATGGATGTTGTGACAGCATATCTATATGGATCTCTTGAAAATGAGATATATATGAAAATCCCAGAAGGATTAAAAATGCCTGAGGATTTGAAATCAAAGGCTAAGGAGATCTGTTCGGTCAGATTACAGCGATCACTTTATGGACTAAAACAGTCCGGACGCATGTGGTATAATCGCTTAAGTGAATATTTGTTGAGTAAAGATTACGTCAACAATGCGATATGCCCTTGCGTATTCATTAAGAAATCCTCGTCAGGATTTGTGATTATTGCTGTATATGTAGATGACCTGAACATGATTGGAACTCAAAAGGAAATTGATGATGCAAGAACTCATATGAAAGAAGAGTTTGAAATGAAAGATCTTGGAAAGACAAAGTTTTGTCTTGGGCTCCAGATAGAGCATTTCCAAGATGGTATATTTGTGCATCAGTCAAATTACACTAAAAGAGTGTTAAAACGCTTTTATATGGACAAAGCAACTCCTTTGAGTACTCCAATGGTTAATAGATCTCTTGATGTTGAAAAGGATCCATTCCGTCCTTGTGAGGATAACGAGGAAGTGTTAGGTCCTGAAGTACCTTACATGAGCGCTATTGGTGGACTAATGTATCTTGCAAATTGCACTAGACCAGATATAGCATTGCTACTAATCTGCTTGCAAGATATAGTTCGTCCCCTACGCGCAGACATTGGAATGGAATAAAACATATTTTTCGTTATCTTCAAGGATCAATTGATTTAGGATTATTTTATCCTAAAACTCAAAATGTGTTTTAGTTGGTTTTGCTGATGCAGGATATCTATCAGATCCACACAAAGCTAGATCACAAACAGGTTATGTTTTCACAATTGGTGGAACTGCGGTCTCCTGGCGTTCGCAAAAGCAAACTTTGGTTGCAACGTCTTCAAATTATGCAGAAACTATTGCTCTCCATGAAGCATGTAGAGAGTGTGTGTGGCTCCGGTCTATGACTCATCACATACAAGAATCAAGTGGAATATATAGAGAAAGAGCCAACAAAAATATTTGAAGACAATTCTGCATGTGTCACACAACTCAAAGAAGGTTATATCAAGAGTGACAGAACGAAGCATATTCCTCCAAGATTTTTCTCATACACTCAAGAACTCCAGAAAAATCAAGAAGTGGACATCGAGTATATTCGTTCAAGTGACAATGCAGCCGATCTTTTTACAAAGGCGCTTCCTACTACAGTGTTCAAGAAGCATGTTCACAGTATTGGAATGCGTCGTCTACAAAACTTGTGAAAAGAAAAGATTATATCTTTTCCAGGGGGAGATTATGCTGCGGTACTCTTTTTCCTAAGTCATAGTTTTTATCCCATTGGGTTTTTCTATGACATAGGTTTTTTAACGAGACCGTACATAATACAGCGGATAATTAAGGGGAGTGTTAGAAAGGATAATTATCCTTATATTATATTATTTACTTAGATGTAAGTTTTTTCACCGCCTTACATACCGACTGTAATATTATAAATTTTTACTTCCTATATATAGGTACTCGTATTGTAAATAACATAAGTTCAATAAAAGAAACTTATACTCTCTCTCCACTTTCATCTCTTCTCACATCTCTCTCCCTACGTACACCATCACCATCTCTTCAACTCTCTCACACATAGTAACTCTCCATCTCTCTCTCTCTCTCTCATCTTATTAGTGAAATCAATCCACTATATCAATATATAGTGGTACATCAGTTTATTTATATCAAACCCAAAATAGTGTGAATTAAGCTAAGCTTAAAGGATGTGGAGAAACAAAGCTTTTGTTACTACTACTCGTTCTCAACAAAAGAATTTTACAACGTATTCTTATTACCAAACCGCAATCAAAAAGAAACTTTACCAGTAAAAACCTGATTGATGTATACAAGTTTGCATAATATATGTTCAAGCTTTATGCTTTGATGACTATAAAAGAAGAGAAAACCAATGCAATTAACACCAAAATAACCCTGAATTACGTTTCTGTAACATTACATGAGATTCTCTCTCTCCCAATCAAACGTTCCTAATTCTTTAGTACTGGAAGATTAACGAATAGACACAACTTTTTGGTTCTTTAATCTCTACTACTCATTCTGAAAATGATACGACCTTTCGTTGAATCATAAACACTCATCTCAACTTTCACTTTATCTCCAGGGAGTATTCGAATGAAATTCTTCCTAATCTTGCCACAAATGTAACCAAGAATGTTGTCTCCATTCTCCAAATCCACTCGAAACATCCCATTGGGAAGTGATTCAGTCACTAAACCTTCGATTACTGTTTTGTTGCTCCCTTCTTTGACAGGAGGCTTCGCTGGTTTGCTCCGATTAGCTCCTCCTCGGCCTCCGCTAACTCTCTGGCAACGTATCAATGGCCGGAGATTCACCACTAAATTGCTTGAACCAAAGTTTATTTGGCTGATACAAAGAAAAAGAATCAAACAGAACAATTAGCTAAAAGAGAATCAAACAATAAAATTAAGCTTAAAGATTGGTTTTTTAACTTCATAAACATTCGAACTAATCCGAATTACTAAACTGAATTTTGTGAAAGAATTCAAACCCAAATCAAAAGAACCAATACGCTAATCCCCCAAATGATCAAAATTCGATTTTGGTAACTCTATTCACTTAGCGAAAAGATTTCGGCTTTACGAGACGTATCGCAATTTCAAATCCCTAACGAACAAGTAAAAAACAAACAGTGATGCTTCAACACATGAAAGTTTTGTTCCAATCAATTCGAGATGAAGCAAAACCCCAGAAAACGGAAGAAGAACCGAAATCGATTATCGGCAGTGGAGTGGATTTTGAGAAGTTACCGAATCAAAGCTCCATCTGAGAATTGGAATTGACGAGGAAGAAGAAGTTGAGGACGGAAAGTGGAGGAGAGTTGAAGAAGCATTTCGTCGCTTCTTATCTTCAAAAATCCCTAAAGCTTTGAGCTCTCTGTATCCTCTCTTTAAGAACGACCACAACCCCCTTATTGAGCCTTTGGCCGAGAATTGGAACTCCGGATATGATTCGCTGTGTTCGAGAACACGATAACTTCATTTCTGACATCCAATGATGGAGCGACACGTTAGCGTTCAGTTTTATGATTTTTTTTTTTTGTGAATTTGCACAAGCTCTGTGAAAAGAGAAGTTTTTATGGTTTTCAACTTTTCATAAAAATGTCAAAAAACACAACTGAAATAACAATATGACTGTTTGATTCGGATAAATCGATATAAACTGAAAATGGTAATTTTTTTAATATCCCAAAAATTGAAACATGATCCAAAGTCCAAACATAAACATAAGTGTAAGACATGGGATTGATATATTTATTTAAATGATACAACTTTCACTTAAAAATTAAAATCATTGTTTTCGTATATTTAGGATATGATCCATACCGTATAAATTGATCAAAAAGAACCCAAGAGCAAATAATCAGCGTAACTCCAAAACAGATAATCCTAAACAAATCAGATTAATTTGATTTGAGAGTGTTTTAGGGCTATAGATGTTTCTAGCACTCAATCCTCACAGCTCCACTCTCAGAGGAAACGAATTTAGGTTTCCTAATAACTGCCTCCATGCACTGAATCACATCTCCGACTCTAAAATCATTCCAATCTCCCATCACAACCCCACACTCATTCCCTTTCCCTACCTGCTCCACGTCCTGCTTCTCCCGTTTCAACGACGCGCACGAGCCTTCGAACAACACTTCACCGCTCCGCAACAGCCTCATCACTCCGCTTCTACACACCTTACCATCCATCACTCTGCAACCAGCAATGCTCACTCCATCTTCCTCTGTTCTCCTCTTCCCCAAGATCTTGAAAATGCTTAGCACCTCTGCTTCACCGGCCACTTCCATCTCCGACACTCCCGGCGCTTTCTCTACTATCAACTTCCCAATGTCCTCCAGCAGATGGTATATCACACGGTGATGAAACACCTAAAAGAGGTCACACCATTGGTTACACAAACGGCAAAAAAAAACGATCATTTGGAAACAGAACGGTGTTGTTACCTGGACGGTGGCATGAGCACCGGAATGATTAGCAGAACTTCCACTCTTGACATTGAATCCAACAATGCAAGCACCACAAGCTTTTGCCAAGTCCAAATCAGAATGAGAAACTGCTCCAACGCCGGTATAAACAATGTTCACAAACACCTATCGAATAGAAAAAACAGAGAGAGAGCCAATAAGCAAACAATAACCGAAACAGAGGAGCCAAAGGTTTTACCTTTAACGTTCACCAAAACAGAGAAGCCAAAGGTTTTACTTTTAACGTTCACCAAAACAGAGAAGCCAAAGGTTTTACCTTTAACGTTCACCAAAACAGAGAAGCCAAAGGTTTTATTTTTAACGTTCACCAAAACAGAGAAGCCAAAGGTTTTACCTTTAACGTTCACCAAAACAGAGAAGCCAAAGGTTTTATTTTTAACGTTCACCAAATCAGAGGAGCCAAAGGTTTTACCTTTAACGTTCACCAAAACAGAGAAGCCAAAGGTTTTATTTTTAACGTTCACCAAAACAGAGAAGCCAAAGGTTTTACCTTTAACGTTCACCAAAACAGAGGAGCCAAAGGTTTTACCTTTAACGTTCACCAAAACAGAGAAGCCAAAGGTTTTATCTTTAAACGCACCTGTGGGCTATTCAACGTTCTTAGCGCATCGGCAACAGCTTGCGCGGTTCCTCGCACGTCGGACTTCACAACAATCGGCAACTCAACACGAACAAACCCTTCGCCGGACTCTTCCTTCGCTCTCTCTGCTTCCAATATCCTCGCTTCCTCTGCTTTCGACCACTGATCCTTCTGATACTTCCTTTTCCTCCCTTCGCTCAGCATCTTCGCTCGTTCCTCTGATTCCACCACAATCACATCATCACCAGCCATCGGAAGTCCCTTAAGCCCTTCAATCTCAACAGGCATCGCCGGTGTCGCTCTGTCCGTTAACTTACCAGTCATGTCCCTAATAGCTCTGAGTCTTCCCCACTGAGAACCAATCACCACATGATGACCACTCACCAAAGTCCCAGCCTTTACAATAATCGTAGCCAACGGTCCACGTCCTTTATCAAGCCGTGCCTCCACCACATACGCTTGAGCCGGTCCGTCCACACGCGCCTTAAGCTCCATATCCACCGCTTGTAAAAGCAGAGCTTCTTCCAATTTGTCTAAACCAGTACTCTTAATCGCAGACACTTCAACAACCTGAACGTTCCCTCCAATATCCTCAAGCTCAATCCCCTCAGCAGTTAACTGGTTCTTGATCTTCTCCGGATTCGCTCCAGCTTTATCGCACTTGTTAATCGCAACCACGATCGGAACATTCGCCAATCTAGCGTGAGCAATCGCCTCTAACGTCTGTGGCATTACACCATCGTCAGCAGCAACCACCAAGACGACTATATCAGTCACAGCGGCTCCACGTGCACGCATCTCGCTGAAAGCAGCGTGACCAGGCGTGTCGAGGAACGTGATTGAAGTGCCGGAGTCAGGCATCCCAACAACGAACGCTCCCACGTGCTGAGTGATTCCACCGGCTTCTCTTGCCGCCACAGAGGTGTTTCTTAGCGCGTCAAGCAACGAGGTCTTTCCATGATCGACGTGGCCCATTACAGTCACAACCGGTGGCCGTGGAAGGATCTCTGATCCTTCTGTTGTATGTTGCCTCCTTACATTCATCCCAATTTCCTACAAGAGGATGAGAAAACAAAAAAGATTACTAAACTTGAATCTTGTTCTTGCTGTTTTCTTGGTTATCAAGAATCACCTTACCATAGCAAGAAGCTCGGCGACATCGACACTGAAGGTGTCGAATTCCGAGGTTACGGTTTCGCCAACATTGACGAGGATGCTCTGCAAAATCGTCAAGGGCTCGCCAGTACGCTTGGAGAACTCGAGTAGTGTCATGCCTTCGAATATGTCGACTGTCTTCACAGGCAATCCTTTGGCCAATCTTTTGAACCTAGGAGGCACATAAGGAGCTTCAACGGGTGGCTTATCCGGTTTCTCTCCTTTTGAGAACTTTCCTTTGGTTCTCACAGTCTGTTTCTTGCGCTCACGGTGACTCAACGCGCGATCTGGATCCTCTTTTCTTCTCGCTAATGTTCCTCGGGTGGCGTGAAAATGCCTGTTCCAAAACATAAGCCAGTGAGCAGTCAAGATATGAGAGCCAAACGTATACGAACAGTCATGGTTCACCTTATGGATGTTTCGGTTGGGAAAGAATCTCGAGAAGAAGACCGATTTGATAGCGAGCTAAAACCAAACCCTAAACATTAATAGAAAGGGTGAGAAAATATGTTTTTTTTTTATCATATTGTAACTACCAGTGAGTGAGCACTCTTTTGGACGCTTACCATTTATGTACCGAGCTAATGAAAAAGAGACACTTTCAGATGAAATGTTAAAAACAGTAGAGGGAATTTGCGTCTCTGTAGATGCTGCTACTCGTGGAAGAACAAAACCTCTTTTAAAAGAGGCTTGAATGCCCTGTAAAAATACGCTTACGTTGCTTGAGAAATCCATAAACATAAGTGAAATGCTAATAGAAATGAGACCTGTTACATATGCAAAACAATTTGAAGAATGTGCAACTACTAATCAAAATGGACAAAAATGCATATATAGTTTACTTCATTTCCAATCAATTATTTGAAACACGAAAAGCTAAATCCAAGCGAGAGGCTTCACCGCAATCTATAGAAACAAATAGCATGAGAACCAAGAATCCAACATCTAACAACAGTCCTTATAGCTTCAAACTAAACAAACAAACATAATTATGACATTTCCATGGAGAAAAACAAGAATTCTTCGATAGCATGACTACTAAAACTATGCCAAGATTAGCCAATGCCGGCAAAAAAGTATGAAACGGAAGCTAAAGGTAAAAGCTTTTTGATCACAAGTAAGGATTTTTGATGAAATTCACAAATAAAGATAGGCAAAGAGTACGAAACAGTACCTTCTTGCCTAAGTGTCTTAACGCCATTCATATGTCAATAAAGTCTCTGCATTTGAAACAAAAACCCCTCAATTTGGTAAGCATAAAATTTTCCATTAAGATAAAAAAAGAACGAACTTTGAGAGGATCAGACACATGTCGCTAAGTCGTAACTGATTCATCTCGACCAAATTATAATCTGAATTTGTGAAACATTTTCCACGCATTAACACAAACTATCAGATTGGAAAACAACGAAGACTCACTCAGAGATCAAATTATGTTCCTTTCGTTAGTGGGAAGACGCGATAACCGTTGATTTGAGAAAGTATTGTCGGAAAATGAATTGAGATCTCAGAACGAGTCTGGGTTTTTCGCGACTGGTTGAAGAGGGACGAAGAGACAGGACGAGAATCGAAGAACAGACCAGAAATTAGACTTTTAGGGCTTTAGGAAAAAACAAAAAACGAAATCGGCCGGTTAGGATAAAACCAACCGGTAATAGATAAAATCACACGGTTATAGTCGGCTGGTGCTAAATTATAAGTACCGATTTTGCAAATGACACCGCAATCTTCAAAATTTCGACAAATATACCATTATATTCTTTAGCGTCATTAAAACCCATTTATGTAAATACTATACAATGGATGTTATTTAGTTGAGAATCTTGAGATACAATAATAACATGTATGGTATATAGTTCTCATGGAATGAGAAATTTTATAGGATCATTTAAAATATAATTTTTTCTTCAACTGAGTATTTGTTTTTTTTGTCGATAGTCTATTTTCTGTAACAGCTCAGCAATCCAAACTGATGAAATAGAGTTTACATAAGACACATGAAGATAGAGTTTGAGCACTCCGTGCTAACTTGTCCGCCTTCGTGTTTTCCGTTCTTGGTATTTGCATGATGGAGAAGGAGGTAACCTCCTCTTACACATGTCAACCTCGTCAAGCAGTATTGAAAACGCCGGCCACTCATCTGGTTTATACACCATCTTCACCACATCGGAACAGTCCGTCTGAAAAACCGTTAAGAGCTTGTTATGTCGTAACATACATTGCATCGCCCAAAGAAAAGTCTCCAACTCTGTCTGAAGTGGTGATATTCCCCGCCTCAAATTACATGTTCGCATAAGTTTATCCTCAGATTCGTGATTACAAAAATACCATCCTAATCCAGCTCTGTGTTTTGTATCCTTCCAAGCCCCATTGACCTAATAAACATCCCTCGATATTGTAATTGCTTCATAGGATAATGAACTGGAATACACCATCTCCTGTTTCTCCTGGGCCGTTGCCCATGCCGCCGACTCCGCCGTTGTTTCAACTAAGTATTTGTAAACATTAAATATTTGCAAATCTTTAGATTTTAAAGAAAATATCAGCTCCGAAAAAATGCCCCTAATTTGTAATTAATCTTTTCTTACTGAATTAACCTTGGATTATTCATTTTTAGAATTGTAAGTTATAAAATTTATGAATGTTTGTTTGATGGGTTGAGCCAGACCCATGCAATAGTAAACGCATGGGTGACTCGCCAAAGCTTTAGATAAAAAGCTATTTTAATGAGCACATATCAGATATTAAACTGATAAGAACAGATACTACACTTGATTTTAGCTAAAAGGCCGAGAAAGGTATGAAGTGTAAGATGGGCTTATCTTCCTTTTTATAATATCGAGCTCATGCTAGGCTTTTCTAACTAAATGATGTGGGACTTTAGAAAAATACGATCGTTCATCTGGACTTAAGGAGATTACAAAACTATATAAACTTCAGAAGAATATATCATATGTCCCCACAGGTTGACATCGATTACCAAACTATGTAAACCTCAGAAGAATAAATTATGAGCTGGTGTTATTTGAAGTACATAAATCTCTGTGCTAATATGAGGATCGGATTTTTTTATGTCCTTAATTATGAAAATTGGGTTAAAGATTATCAGTGAGGTTTAGGGTGGAAAATTCAACTCGCAAAGAAGAAAGGTTGATATCTTCGAAAGTTTTCAGACAAAAACAAGAATGGAAGAAGCTTTTGTCTTCAATGACTGACGCTAAAGTCTTCACAACCTTTTTCATGTAATTGTTTCAGGAAATAAAGGGGACATATATATCTTGTCAAAATGAGGCTGACCACTGTCCATGCTTGAGGTTCTTGTTGTTTCTGCTTCAAAATGCCTGAGCTAAAACTTGTATTAATGAAGCCAAGAGTTTTCATGATTGATTGGAATCATCAGAAGAGCTTAAAGATTGCATAATACTGATGGGCTCAGCTTAGTTATGAGAACTTGTATAGTTGTATGGCTTTGATGAGGTGTGGACCTCTGGAGCTATTACTACTTGAAGAACCAGAGACTGTAAGGTTTCGTAAATAGAGAGGAGAGGAGCTTGTACATGTAATTTAACCAGATACTTTATTCACCTCCACTCTGTTTTGTCTCTGTTTAAGTGTCAAGAAGCTTGTACATGTAAATGACATAGTTATGCTTTTAGATGAAGGGACAAGTGAACTTGATGCTGAGTCTGAGAGGATTATTCAAGAAGCACTTGACAGGATCATGGTTTAACCGAACAACTGTCGTTGTTGTCTCTCACAGATCGAGCACTGTGAGAAACGAAAACTTGAATGCTGTGATTCTCAAAGGCGAGATTTGTAGAGAAAGTTAAAAATACTCAAATTCTTAATTGACACATACATCTGTTTGATATCAAGTGCTGATCATGAATGTATAACCAGATTAGTAAAGGGATAAAAGAACAGCCCATTGTATGTGTCCTTGGAGACGTATCTTGGGCAGCAAGCAAAAGGGTTGTGTTATTTGTTGAGCAAGCAAGTGCTCGAAAGTAGAATATAAAGGAATTCCTATAATTTGGAAGCTTATTATACATTTTAAATTTTACTTTATAGAAAGGTAATTAACGTAGGTTTTACTTTCTTTTACTTTTTAGTTTTAAATTTATTTAATGTAAACCCAGAAGAGAACATAATACAATATATCAAACTTTACAAAAAAAAAATATATATATATATATATTTACTAGAGCAATAAACAACTTTTTATATTCAATCTTTTTTCTTTTGTTATTTTGAGAACAAAATCTGAGAATCAAACAGAAAACCCTAGTCGACAGAAAGAGAGAGGTGACAAACCAAAGCTGGAGAAGATAATAAGGAATTAAAAAGAATTCTTGTCGTTTGAGCATAAACTATGTCTTCCAAAGTTAGGGCACAGAAGGAGAAGCAATCTTCGGAGCTTCAGCCGTTTCAGATTCCGTCACTTCCCTATGACATCATCGTGGATGTCGTAGCACGTGTCCCTAGATGTAATTATCCGACGATCTCCCTTGTTTCCAAGAGTTTCCAGAAACTAGTTGCATCGTCTGAGCTATTCATGAAACGATCCTTGTTAGGCTGCACCGAACACAGCGTCTATGCTGTCCTCTATAGCTTTGCCACCGGTGATTACCGTTTGTCTATCCTTCGCCGGAATGTCAACAATACTCACTTGGTCAATATACGGTCGCTTCCTGACAGGGGAAGCTATGTCGCGGTGAATTCGAAGCTATATTGTGTATTCGATAAGATTGCATGGTGCATGGACTGTAGATCTCACACGGTGCGGTCCATCTCCAACATGCCTGAACGCATGGAGAGAAAAGTGGCCGAAATCATCGATGGGAAGATTTACGTAATCGGAGATTGCTTGTGTGATGATGACGAGGTGAGTGGAAGTAGGTTCTCGAAGAGAGTCATGGTGTTGGATACAAAAACTCAAATGTGGGAGCCTGAGATTACAAAGCCTGACTTGAAGCTAGGCAGCTTGTGTCACGATGTTGTGGTGATGGAGGATAAGATTTACATGAAAGATTCGTTCAATAGCTTTGTTTATGTGCCAAAGGAAAATAAATGGGAACTGGACGAGATGCTGAATACTAAGAGATGGGAAGGTGCGTGTGTCGTTGACGACGTATTGTACTATTACGATGTTTACAAGGATATGTTATTAAGGGCATATGATCCAAATAATAGGTGTTGGAAAGTTGTGAAAGGTTTGGAAGCATTGTTGCCAAAGGCGGCTGGTCCATCGTATTCCAAGACGGTTAGTTACGGTGGGAAGTTGGCTATTTTCTTTTATAAATTATATGATGGCAAGACGGCAAGGCTGAAAACAAAAGAGATTTGGTGGGCGGAGATTGCTTTGGAAAGACGGCAAGGAGGAGAGATTTGGGGTAAGGTGCAATGGTCTGATGTTGTGACTTTTGATGATGAGAATCTTTACATGGTGAATTTATTAGCTGTTACGGTTTAATTCACATTTTGTGGTTGGGTTAAATTGTGTTTTGTTAAGAATTCATAGTGTGTTTAGCTGCGTCTGGTCTACAAACATATGGTATCTGTTTGGTGGAAGATAATAAATGTCTGCAGCTTATTCTTTATTCTTTCCGCATCATTTTGAATTGAATGGAGAAAATTTGTTGGGTTATGGTGGTAGTAATAATCCAAGTGTCAAAATAACTTTGCTTGGAGTCTTTGACTAACAATAAGGATTATTGGTTATAGAACAAGAATAACCCGATGTGTGATATATGAGATTTTTAGAGAGATAGCTTGTGGTAAACCGCCCATTCGAGGACGTAAACCGCCAAGAATGGAGCACGTAATCTGACAACACATTGCGAGACCAAATGATCTTCAGGTTTGTGTATGTCATTACGCTTTCGTTTTTGTTTAAGATGATGCCATGCACCAAGCCTAGGAAACGTGTAGCGATCAAAGCAAGTCTTATATTATCAAGTACGTGTGTGAACGTGAATTCTATTATTTGGTCGATATTAGTGTCTTCACTGGACAAAGGGATCTTTGAAATCATGGTAAAGTTACTTTGAAACCACCTTCCCATCAATTAAACGGACCCATTGTATTATGTGTCCTTGGAGACGTTGCTGTTCATCTTGAGCAGCAAGCAAAAAAGTTCTGTTATTGTTTTTTTTTTTTTTTTTTTTTTTTTGTTGAAGGAGGGGGAAAAGACCCCCAATTTATTAAAATAAATGAAACTTACAACCAAATTTGTCGAGAGGTCGAAAACCCCAGCGAAGTCCTCTAAAAGCAAAGATTCCAAAGTAGCTGGAACATAATCAAAAGTTCTGTTATTCGTTGAGCAAGCAAGTGCTCGAAAGTAGAATATAAATTCATATAATTTGGAAGCTTATTATCCTTTTAAATTTTACTTTATAGAGCATACAATTTCCTTTACATAAGTTTGAGGAGGAATTACCATTTGTATACCCAAATATTTTTTTTTTCTGAAAACGGTATACGAGCAGTATACCCCAAGAGGTGTAAAATGACATTTTTATCTTTTACGAACAAATAATAAACGAGCGATACAATTAACAAAATTTACCCATTATGGTGAAATCTACTGAAGAAGTCTACGTAAAGTAGACTTCAAAACGAAGTCTACAATACCTTAAGATAATTATAAAATTAAAGAAAAATATCTAAATCAAATAAATTATACATAAAAAAGATTTTGATATTTGGCATCTTTTAAAAATAATTTTGCTTTGAAAATGAATTAGCCTAAGTACTTTTTAATTTTAAATTTATTTAATTTAAACTCAGAAGAGAACATAATACAATATATCAAACTTTACCAAAGAAAAAACATATAATATGAGCAATAAACAAGATTTTTATATTCAATCTTTTTTTCTTTTGATATTTTGAGAACAAAAACAGAAAATCCAACAGAAAACCCTAGTAGTCGAAAGAAAATAATTATTTAATAAGGGACTAAAAAAATTCTTGTTTTGAGAATTGAGTCTAAACGCTGTTAGATGTCTTCCAAAGTTAGGGCGCAGAAGAAGCAATCTTCGGAGCTTCAGCCGTTTCAGATTACGTCACTTCCCGATGACATCATCGTGGATATTGTAGCACGTGTCCCTAGATATAACTATCCTGCTATCTCCATCGTTTCCAAGAGCTTTCGAGCTCTCGTTTCGTCGCCTGAGCTATACAGAAGACGATCCCTGTTAGGCTGCACCGAACACTGCCTCTATGTTGTCTTCTATAACCTTGCCACCGTTGGTTGCCGTTTGTCTATTCTCCGCCGGAAAGTCAACAATAATCACTTGATCAGTATATGCTCGCTTCCTCGCGGTGGAAGCTATGTCACCGTGAATTCAAAGATATATTGTTTATTCGATGAGATTGCATGGTGCATCGATTGTAGATCTCACACGGTGCAGTCCATCTCCAACATGCCTCAACGCATGGAGAGAAAGGTGGCTGCAATCATCGATGGGAAGATTTACGTAATCGCAGATTGTTTGTGTGATGTTGAGGAGGTGAGTTGGAGTAGGTTCTCGAAGAGAGTCATGGTGTTGGATACAAAAACTCAAATATGGGAGCCTGAGATTACAAAGTCTGACTTGAAGCTGGGAAGCTTGTGGCAGGATGCTGTGGTGATGGAGGATAAGATTTACATGACAGATTCTTCGAAAAGCGTTGTTTATTGGCCAAAGGAAAATAAATGGCAAGCGGAGGAGATGCTGAATACTAAGAAATGGGAAGTAGGTGCGTGTGTCGTTGACGACGTATTGTACTATTACGATGTTTACGAGAATGAGTTAAGGGCATATGATCCAAAGAAGAGGTGGTGGAAAGTTGTGAAAGGTTTGGAAGAATTATTGCCTAAGGCGGCAGGTTCATGGTCTTCCAGAACAGTAAGTTACGGTGGGAAATTGGCAATTTTCTTTCATAAAGTTTCTGAGGCCAGGATGAAAACAAAAGAGAGTTGGTGGGCGGAGATTGCTTTGGACACACGGCAAGGAGGAGAGATTTGGGGTAAGGTGCAATGGTGTGATGGTGTGACTTTTTTTTATGATGGGAACCTTTACGTGGCGAAATGTTTAGCTGTTACGGTTTGATTTCAGATACTCTCTTTCCTTATATCTCATCTTGTGGTTTGGATACTATAAATATTTGGTATCTCAATAGATGTATGCAGAATTGTATGCAACATATTTTTTATGCTTTCCGCATTATTTTGAATGGAATGGATAAAATTAATTGGGTTATGGTAGGAGTAACCCAAATGTTGCCATACCTTTGCTTGAACAGATACTACACTTTCCTGAAGCACCGGAAACTGTAAGGTTGCTTACAAAACAGTATAGAGTTTGTGATGGCGCGCGCGTTTGGGCTATGGGAGTGAGAGTGACTCTATTATCTTGTTCATAGAGAAGATCACTTGATAATCCACGCCAGAGACTTGCATTCCAGAACAATTATTTCGTGCCATGTCATTTAAACATAAATTTAGCTATCCAAGTTAGTTTTCTCAAAGAGTTTTGGTTAAGCAACTTAAAACTATGTATTTTTTATCATCCGAGTGAGAACTATCTGTATATAAGTAAGTACTGTAACAGTGTTCAATTGAGAGATTAATAACAGAGAACAATTTTTCGCAACCTCTTCTTCCTCATGTTGACTTCTCTTCTCTTAGTCGTAAAAATCCACAAGTAGAAGCATAGAGTTTTAGAAGAGAAAAAGAAGTCTCAAGTTTCTTTATTTATTTTTTTATAGCCATGACAACACTCAAGGAGAGAAAAAAAAAACATGCGAAAACAAAGAGTGCGATGGGTTTGGCATCAAAGTAAAAGTTTGCAGAATACAAAAAAAAAGAATCACAAACAAAAGAGAAATCTTCCCAAATGGGTTTTAACCGAACACAAACCGGGTTCAATCATCTCTCTCTCTTTTCATTAGGCAGTAACTTGGCCGAACAACGACTTACGGATCTGTGTAAAAAAACACAAAAATGGGTGAATCGGTGAACAAAAGTGACTCATGGATCATCATAGAAAGCAAAAAAGAAGATAAAATCTGTTGACATACCACTGGAAGATTCATACGGAATGCAACATCAAGACGAGCATCAAGTGTGTTCTCGCACACGATTTTCCCATCCTTGGAAGCCAACACAACACCTCCAGAGCTAATAACAAGTTCAACATTCACATACATACATCAGAATGGATACTACTACTCTAATGTAATGTAAGCCAAAATGCTGAGAAAGATTTTGATTTTACCAGTGGAGACCATGAGGATCACTCGATTTCGGAGGAGGGGGAAGGAAGATTTCAGTGTCCACGGCAACCTCTGGAGCATGAACCTTTGCTTTCCCAGCATACTCCTCCTTGGCGTCATCGAGAATTGATTCGACTAATCCCAAGTCTTCTTCACGGCAACGCAACAACACAGATGGTTCTTTCAACCGAAGCAAACACTGCAACGATACAAGAGAGAATCTTTTAACAGAACCATTTGGAAATGACAAAATGAGTTCGCCATCAGACTCAAGAAAGCAGTATACATAATCAGATGCTTAAAAGAAGCTAATACGAAAGTTCCAATATTAAAAGTACCAACCTGAACAATCAGATCCTTCAGAAGCTGTTTGTAGGCAGACTCATTGCCACTCACGTTCAGAAGATCCTTTGCTGCTTTGTCTTTCATGGCATTGACGATATCATCCTGCGCTTGAAGAACTTTGATCCTTGACGCATTTAGCTGCATGGAGTAATCACTGAAAAAAACATGAACAAACAATTAACGATTTCAGAGTCACTTCAGTACATTATCCTCAATTAGACTAATTTCTGAAGTAAGAAAATTGAAATGTGAAGATAACTGTCTTCAAAATCGTGTAACAGAGTAGATCACACTATTTGTTGTTCATCCATCAAGAGAAACTATGCAGATTACAATTTGAATTCATGTGAAAACTTCGAATCTATAAATTAAATCAATTGATCCAGAACAGAAGGCGATTCAACTTTAAACTAAATCAAGATCAAAGAGCGAAATCAGAAATTTAAACAATCGGTTTATTTGATCAATTGAAAAACTCACATCTTCTTGCGCACATCAGCTTGCTTCTCCTTCTTCTCGTAATCCTGCCTGATCTTCTTCTTCTCAGCCTCAACTAGCTGGAGCTTCTCGATGTTGAATTCCTACAGAGATATTCAAAATAACCAGATCGAAACGCTAATCAGAAACAAAATCAGCAATACGAACATTGTATAAACGAGATCGAATCGCTTGAAATCGAGTGAGATCAGAAGATCAGAAGAAATGGGAAGAGAACACTAAGGAACGTACTTCTTCAGCGGAGACTGAGATCTCATTTGCCTTCTCCTCTGCCTCTTGGCGGATGAATCTCACCATCTGCTGGATCTGCCTCGACACATCTCCGTCATTCATATTTTCGCCGGAGAATTTACGATCGCCGTTGATCGAAGTTTGCAGAGATTTGGAGGAAAATCGAGAATTCTGTGGCGCAGGAAGATTGGAGAGAGAGACGTAGATCGGATTGTCGCAACGTGGGGGTGAGTTATTTGAAGTTGTCTGGGTTGTTGTTGAGTATAAAAAATTAAAACGGCGTACAGTTGTTTAGAGACTACGCGAAACGACAAGGCGTCTAAATAAGAACCAGTTTGCTCTGGGCCACTTATGGGCCCAAGACCCATTGTTGCTTATCACTAACAGGTTATCTAAACTAGATAGATAGAGAGGGTTGCTTGTTTTCTAGACTTTGTAAAGTTCCAACAAATCTTACATATAAAAACGTTCAACAAATCTCCATGAAGTTTAAAATGTCTGTATTTTGTATATATGAGTTTTTAACTTTTTATAAATACCTGGGTAGTAGCAAATATAAAATCTAACTCTTTCCTCGATTAGATTGTGGCTTTCTCTACAGTGATCAGAATGAGATAATTTTTTCACTAGAAAAAGTAGGATTATTCTTTAGATGTTTCTTTTTTTTGTGAAAAGTATAAAACTTCTGATATCATATCATGCAGTGGTGGAGGTATTTGAGAGGGAGTTCACTTGACCCTTACAAATACTACAAATTTTTAATTTACTTTGTTGGCTAACTACTGGTTGGAAACTTCTTGAATGACCCATATGCCATGTATTCGAGTAAGCATAACGTGTATTGGTTTAAAGAGTTCCTAGCGAGTATACCAAGTAGTGCATATGACATCGTTTGTATCTCTGATTCTTCACACTTACAAAGATACTTTGTTAAACTATGAAAGATTCTTTGATCATTTGCCACAACTACATTTTCAACATTGTTTAACGTTAAGTTGAATTATATAAGTATCTTGATTACACAATTCTGTACAGCGTAATGCACGTGCAGACCAAAAGTAACAAATAAGTGAAAAGTAGACCGGCAATAAGGTCGTGAGAAAGTGTTGGAAAGGCCAAAATTAATCATCCCCTTAATTAATTTTAGTTATCAGTTCTAATTAGTACTCCAAGTGACAATCTAAAAATAGCTAGTAAATGAGAGTTGTCTCACTACAAGACAACAAGTGACAATCACCTGCTGGCTCAGGCTCACCATCCCGCACGTCCACCCTACTTTAAAGTTGATAAACCAAATGTACATCATTAATTTTAAATTTATAACCAAGTCTCTAAACCGTTAATCGTATACTAGTCATAACTTTTTTATCAAATTTTACCGTACGTCTATTTTATACGAGTATAGATATGTAGTTTGATAATTTTGTTATACTGATTTATCCCTAAATTTGTTTACTGGAAATTATACACATAATCTTCACTATCGATATTCAAAAATCAAACTACAGATTTCCTTTTTCATTTTGACAACAAATACTAAAAAAAATCCCTTATTATGTCAACAAAAAAAATTATTTGAAGTATACAGTATGTTAACGATCAAACGTTACATAGACTTATCCGACTTCATCAGAGAAGCCAAGCAACAACAACAAAAACAAAATTAGCAAAATATGAAATGTATCCTTGAGCCCAAAAAAAAAGAAGAAGGAGAAGAAAGAAGTGTATCTTCTAAATCAGATCTCTTGGATATTTCTTTTCGTGCTTTAATATTTAAACATAAAACATCTATCATATTTGATGGGTCATGTCGTCCTAAGAAAATAATTAGTTGCAATTGCAAATTGCAAAAGTAAAACTCGTGAGTGTACGAGCACCATTTAGGTTTCGTACTTTCGTTCATTGGTGCCTTGGTGGTGTGGCCCTTGTCGGGTCGCCACATAGATATAAGTGTTTAAATGAATTGAGGGACGAACTTCAGATCAATGATTCGGTAATCATCAACTTTTCTTAATAAGCATTTTTCGGTTACAATCCATAATTCCTCTAATCATACACCCTCTCTAGTATTTTACTCCTTTTCTATATTATGTGGGTTGCATGCTCCTGAAACAGACCAAATAATATCCAAAACTTTTTGATTAATAAACATATTTAATGCATTATCAATTCATGAATTTTAACGAAGCATGGTTGCAGGAAACACTAACTACATTAAATATAAGTTCCCTGGCTAGATCCATATTTTCAGCGTGGTTGAAGCTCTTTTCAAGTACACCACCATTGATAGATAATTGTTGGCCTAATTGGTTCATTATTGGAACTTTGCTGTTTTCGCTTTGTACAACCAATAATATTCTTATATACTTTCCTTCACTTTGTTGAATATTTTTATGAGATAATATATCTTCAAACGGTAGCAAGTGCATATGTAAAAAACTCCATCGCGTTCCAGTTTCATTTGTGGGTTTATTTGTTAATTAGACTTGGATTGATTAAGTTTTGAAACGGCAAGTTGAACATATAAGATGAGTAAGTTTTGTAATTTTGTAAATAGTTGATTAGTGTTTTTTTTCTTCTTCACGAAAACAACAATACATAAATGTGTACTAATCGGCTTATACGGAAAATACTTTCTACAACGTCATCGACCGCCTTAGGCACCCACCACTATTTATTAATTTTTTCCTAAGCACCTGAATATATGTCTAATAATGAATAGGTCTCTTTCCAAGGACTAGCTCCTATTGAGATCTCTGAATTGTTTTATATTTATACGAGAACAAGATAGATATATCAGCGAAAACCAAACTAATCCCTAGGGTTTGTAAGAAATTGGGAATTCTTAGGTTATGAATGAATATCAGGGAACAACTCGAAAAAAATCACATCGCTTGATGCTACAATACTCTATTAGCTCTTAACCGAATCTGGTCCCAAACTGTGGGAAGAGGGTTTACACTACAAGAAAGACGGAGTTTGACGTCGGTTATATATGGGGTTCACGTCGGTAAGAGAATGACGCTAAAAACTTGAAGTCAGTTTATAAACCGACGTGTCATTCAATGACGCAGACCATTGTTGCTTCACTTACAACACCGACGTTAACCATACGTCAATTGCTGCTTCAGTTAAAAAACCGACGTTAGGCATAACGTCATATATTTAGCGTCATTATTTTGTGTGTTTAGGGTCAATTCACAAACGACTCCAACACTTATGTTTATGTCATTTTTAAAACCGACGTAAATGTTAAAAGCCTAACGTCACTAATACAACTTTTTCTTATATTTAATATAATTGTAATTTAAAACATTAGATGACAATAAACTCATAGTAAAATCAAATCTTTTATATAATATCAAGTAGAAAATACAATGTTTTGTTTATGTATAAATGAAAGATTGACAGGAGCGTATGAATGTAATATCAAATAGAAAATACAATGTTTTGTTTCCAACTTCCCGAACGAATCCTATATATCACCTGAACATATCTCACCTGCAAAAACAAAAGTAAGATCAGTAATCATGATTTCTAATCATTTCAGTAACCAAAAGTAAAATGAAAGCAAGACCTTTAATACATTTCAACGAAAACAGAATCTCTGTTTCTTCTAAACCAGAATCTGTATCCTAATCAAGACCATTCACATATGAGACTACTCAAACAGAAAGTATGGTTCTCTATAACTTAGCTAGCCACCATTATGCTCTTAACTAAAACAACACCACACCTTCACACACCATAACCATTAGAATTCTTAACATGGAGTTGGAGATGTGTGTACCTTCGTAGAGGAGGTAAGCTATCAAAAGCAGATGACCTACGTGGAGGATTTCTGGAGTCGAGGCTTGATGAGGACTCAGTTTCTGACTCTCTCCTTGAATTAACACCCATGGTCGTCTCTGTCATGGTCTGAAAAAAAAAAAAAAATGTTGATCACTAAAACCTGAGAGCAGAATACAGCAAGACTAATGATACAGGTTTTACAGTGAATCATGATACCTCGAACTGCAAGAAACCTTGAAGAACATCGAGAAGGAGAGGTCGATCTCCATTTCTGTTGAGCTCATAACCATGGTTGCTACTAAAGTAGCCTAGCTCAGACTTCCAAGAGTCTTTTTGCTGTTCATAGTCAGATCACCAGATTAGTACGAAAGCACTCATCCAAATTTTACTGAATGAAACAAACAACTTGATTACCAAATTGCATTCGGGTTGATAAACTTTGAGCGTGTGATTGAGTTGTGCCCAGTCCAAGTATTCACAGATTAACGCAGACAGCAACCTCCCTGCATTCCATTCAACAGTTCAGAGTGAGAACCTAGTCAATGCTCATATGCCAAGTGCACACAGTACTCAAACTCAAACTGCCAAGGCAAGACTAGACACAGTCTATTCAAATCAAAACCAGAATTTTTTCTATGTTTATAAAAGTGAACCATTAACAGAGAAAAACGAGTATACAAAAGGTATGAGAAGGCATCAGTTTCAGAAGGTACGAACACAATACCATTCATAAAAATCAGTAGACAAAACCAAATATGAGACTTGAGAAGACCAAAGTTCACAAAACAAGTTCAAATATTCAAGAGATTCATTCACAGTCAATTAAAGCTTTCGAAGTTCAATTCCCAGATCATGAAAGAAGCTAAGCCAATATCAATAATATCATGAAAGAAGCTAAACTAGATTTCTCGTAAGACAATGCTTTATGAGAAAATTGATCATGAAATTTCACAATCAGACTCAACAAAACCAAATTTGTTGCCACTATTTCACTAGTGGCTTTCTCCCATGGAACCATGAAGAGAAATTCTTATTCTAAGATCATGAGAAATTCATATGCTCAAAACTAATAGATCGGATGCAAAACTAATAGAGCTTCAAACAACTTGATTTTGACCTTGTTAAAGCTAAGAAAAGAAAATTTATAAGGATCGAAAGTTTACCTTAAATTTGCAGAGAAATTTGAGATTCGCGAGCTCTGAAACTCCTCTTAAATTTCTTCACAAATCCCTTATATCCTTGAACGAAATTCATAAGCATTGTTAGATTCAAGCATAATGTATTCTTCTTCTGTATTTCGTCATAAACACAGCTCAATTTTTAGGAAATTCAAACTTTACGAACCTGAGCTTGACCCGAAATCGGATTGTTAGCCTGAGCTTCTGGAGAAAGGATCGAAATCGGATTTCTATAAACTCGAGCAACCTTGTGATTATTGACACTGACGACGATTGCAGAAGTAACGAAATCAAATTTAGGGATGCAGAAAAACGAAAACCCCCATGATTTTGCAGAAATGTTGATTTAGATTGAAGGAAGATTTTTTGCAGTTCTCGGAGGAAGAAGGATTGATTTGTTCTAATTGATTAATAAAATTTAATAAATTTAATTTTTCTTTTATTTAGCATCGGTTTGGTACCGTCGGTTTAGTAAATGACTCCAAATCCCTTCCTTTTTATTAATTTTACGTCGGTTTAACAAGTGACGTTATTTAAGTGACTTTAAGTGATGGATTTCTTGTAGTGTTATATACATCTTGAAAATATCGAGGATCATCCGACCATGCATTCTCGAATGGAATATGAATAAATTGTAACGTACCTTATATAGTTATATCTCTCGAAACCTAAGATGGCAACACTTTCTAACCAGCCAACGAGTGTCATTTGCTGCATACTATACAAACCAGCCGAACCCCAAGACCTATATTCCCAAAGCATTAGAGTAAAGTCGACCGAGAGATAACCAATAAATTATCCCACCAAAACATTGTATATTTCGTGCTAGATATATTAAAATATATCGAATTATAAACTAAAAAAACAAACATAAAACGCAAATGAAATTTACACTCTATCAATGCAAATATACACATCAATAATTTGAAACTATGCTTTATAAAAAAAAATGAGCTATTTTTTCTTCCTATGCAGTATGCACAACATTATTTTAAAATGAACACAATTATAAACACAAACTTACAAAATGGGGGTTGTCATGAGTATATATAGCCAAAAAGGATGTTGGCAGACAAATGGGTAATAAGCGAAAGTGCCTCGAGACGACGAAGAAAACTCACATGAAAACAAAGTGGGATGGCTCGAAACGAGAGAACGGCGCCGTTTACGGGACTAACGGTAAGACCGCTCCGGTCGGGTCCCCCTTTCTACTGCTACGGTCCAACTTTTGTCTTTATTTTATTCGACCATTATCCGTACGGTCTCGTTTTATTTTTTTTTCCGTTAGTCAAATTATCACCGCTTAAGCCATAATAAAAACCAGCAATTGACTAAACATCAACTTGAATTACATCTCTCAGTACTATATTGGTCAGTATATATATAATCTCTCACACGACCTAGCTACTCTTTCTATTAAATCAAGGAAGCTTGCAAGAGTTATCGAGAAACTTTACAAATTTTCATGAATTTCTCTCTCTATAGAACTGCAAATTATACTAAAGTTCTTTTCGTTGCCAAAAATAAAATAAATAAATAAATACCAAAGTTCTTTAATTTAACCATAAGTACAAAACCTTTTTGTGGATATAAACGTGTTTACATTGGAAATATGACATGATCTAGACAATGCATGTATACAGTACATGGTCCAATAAATTCATGACCAATTGATTTAGAGTTTTAAATATATGAATATGGTACTGTATTGAAGTTCATTCATACACTAGTTCTACAAAAATGCCAAGGGTTATATGTCTACGAACTAATCATCGTTATAATTATTAGAAATTTAGAAGTAACAGTAACTCTATGATTGTGTGATGATGACATTACATGAACCAAATCTTTCCAACGGGCTCATCATTACTCCCACCCAATATTTTCATACCAGACTATTGAATATTCTCAGAAACGAATTCTGATTAGTTTGAAAAACTAATTTTTAAACGAATTTTTATGGGATTCTTGAATGATTGCGTGGCTCAAGGTTAATTTTCACGTCTGGGGTTTGATGCTTATTTGACTTGTTTTACGTAGTTTTTGATTGTATGCATGTGTTTTTGTGTTTAGTAGTCGTTAGATTACACAATATACTGTACAAATTAGAAAACCCTTAACGTTTTAGAATTATGTGTTTTGAGGACACCATTATATATTTGTAAGGATTGATAAAAAGAAATTAGTAGTGAATTTTGCATGCGAGTTGCGACAATAGCTAAACCATATAGACTTGTGACGACAAATATGTACTAGTTAAAGAAAAATCGTAGCAAATTTAAAAGGAAATTGGTTCAACAATTTGCGTTAGCATATTTGGGACTATATTTTAATTAATAGAAAGATTCAACTGTAATCCATTATAAAGAAAGTTTGGTTGCTTTAAATTCAAGATCTTGATTCGACTAATTTTATGGCGATGCAAGTCCAACATCAATGTTAGTGTTGGTCTGACCAAGCATCGGATAAGTTTTGGCTATGGTCGCCAAGTTTTGGATTCGTCACCAGAAATACTTAATGCTTTGTTGTTATTTACAATTTTATTGATATGTGACAAATGTAAATGAAAGAGGATGTTTATGTCGTTCTCATTGATAGGTTTAGAATATGTATGCACGGTACATACAAACCCTACTTAGCTAAAAATATTAGGAAATTAACATTTAGAGATATATAAAATTACATTATGTAAGATCTGCATAAAAGTCTCAAATACTTCTTTTCAGATTGAAGCATGGAAATCTCGAAATGTAGTATTTTCTTATGTAGTATAGGGTATATAAGGGAACTGTTTTTATGTTTTTCTTTTATGTAAATAGTACATCATTTATAAAGTTAGGCAGCACTCTTTTTAACATTTTGTGGAGAGGTACAGTCGAACTCTCATGCTGAAATTTTTGCAAAAATAGCAATGTCACTAGCAGTACTAGACACTAGTAGATCCGAACTTTTTTACTACTCCAGCTAAGTTATTTTTTTTAATTTAGTATCGGCTGTCTAATTTGTAAATCAACCGAAGAATAACGGAGTTTAAGTTTTTTCCTACATATTTCTCCAAATCTAGCTGGACTAGAATCAATAAATAATGATTATTAGTCCATTTCAAAATCTGTTTATTACTGTATTTGATTAGTTGATCTATAAGATCAGGAAATTTGCATGTACGAACATTTACGAATGTCCTTTCTCATAATTCTTTCTTCTTCTTTCTTAATTTAGTTCCGGTTTCAACACTGTTACCACTCCGAACCCTTAAAATTATAATTCGACACTTAAGATAGTTTATTTGCAGAGAAAAGGGAGTACTATTTATTTTCTTGGAAAAAGCCAAACACTATCCACGTTAAAAGAGCCAAAAAATTAAAGGCACTTTGTTTTCTCTGGTTTTTAACACTCACGTGAAAATATGCAGTGAAAAAGAGAGTTTTCTAAAAAAGAGAGTTAAAAAAAGACAAATATATACTTTAATAAATTAAAATTTTAATTAAATGCCATGTGAAAAAAGCAATTTTAATTAATACACAATGATACAAAAAAAAGTGAGAAAAAGACACACAAAGTCGAATGGCGATTTTTCTTTAGACGTAACATATCCCATATTGTCTTCTCTGCCACGTCAGAAACCTGCCGTAGAAAAAGACCAGAGACTGCTATAAAGTAAAAAGTTAAAAAAAAAACAGCAGACCGCAACGGTCTAATTATTTTTACTGGCAACAAACTTGGTTAACGCGAATGACCAAAACACCACTATAACTGAATGCAGAGAGATTATCGTAGAGGAATGTTTAAGAATTTAATTACAGCAATTAACCACCCTTAATTACTGCTATTAAATTTCTATGGTTAAATTAAAAATATTTAAACCGACAAAAGTTTCCAAAAACTTGTTTTTAAAAACCTTAAAAAATTGAAATGAACAAAAAGAAAAAAACCGGATTTTGAAACGCTGCAACCGCCGTTTCAATATCCTATAAAAGAGACTCTGTTTGCTCAGAGTCTTTCTCTTTACTTACTTACATGTGCTCTGCATCTCTCTCCCTATCGTCTTCTTCATCTTTGTCACTCTCTTTCTCTCACTCTACACAAAGTTTTCCTTTTTCTTTTCCCTCTTGCAAAAATTTTCCCAGGAATATTTCTTAACCTTAATCTTCTTCCCCAAACAAGAAAAAAGCATCTCCTTCTTTCTCCCTCCCTTTGCTTAATTACCAAACTCTGATTCCATAAGCATATCTCACAAAAAAGCTCTCTTCTTTTTCTCTTTTCCTTCATACTTTCCCGGGAAAATCTTTGCTTTTTTCCCTCATCTTCTCTCTTGTTACAGAGCATCAATCTCTTCATTTCTGTTTTCTTTCTTTATTCTTTGTCTCCCTCACTTTTCCTAACTCTCTCATATTTATACACAAACACACGAACAAAGAAGAACACAAATAACTTATAGTATACAGTAACTGTTACAAATAGTGATTAAGCAAATGGAGACAGAGACGAAAGTTTCTCTCACGGAGCACAAAATCAAGAGCAGAATATTACGAATCTCTGTGACTGATCCTTACGCTACAGATTCCTCAAGCGACGAAGAAGAAGAAGATTTTGCCGAAATCTCCAGGAAACGACGTCGTGTCAAGAAATACGTGAACGAAGTGGTTCTAGAGTCGACGATGGTTTCTGATAAAGACAGGCCGATGAAGAAGAAGAGACGAAAGACGGCGACTGAGCGAAAGGAGGCTACTGCTGTTGCTGCTGCTCCGGTGGCGAGAAAGTATCGAGGAGTGAGACAAAGGCCGTGGGGAAAATGGGCGGCGGAGATTAGAGATCCGAGTAGACGTGTACGGCTCTGGTTAGGGACTTTCAACACGGCGGAGGAAGCCGCCGTTGTTTACGATAACGCCGCTATTCAGCTCCGTGGCCCTAACGCTCTCACTAATTTCTCTCCTCCTCCTCCTCCTACTCCGGCAACGGAGGATGGTGAAGAAGACTCGACGGAGATGGACGGAATCTCGGATTTTACCACAAGCGGCGGTGGAGAATGCCTCGATTCGCCGGTTTCTGTTCTACAATCTCCGTTCTCCGGCGAGTCTACGACGTTTATTGCGGTTAAAGAGAAATTTCCCGGCGTATCGACGGCGACGACTGAGGTGAAAGAAGAGGAGACGTCGATTACGGTCTCAGATACGTTCACGGATTTCTCGTCGCCGTTGTTCTCAGACGACGACGTTTTCGGTTTCCCAACGTCGATGACTGATTGTTTTGGCGACGAAATATTCGGGGATAATCTTTTGGCGGATATGAGTTTCGGGTTTGGGTTTGGGTCCGGGTCCGTATTTTCCAGCTGGCACGTGGAGGACCATTTTCAAGATATTGGGGATCTATTCGGGTCGGATCCTCTCTTAGCTGTTTAACCAATAAAACAAAAAAAAAAGCAACTGTTCGTTAATCGGTGTATCGGCGAAGTTTTGTTACCGGCGGGGAGTATGAAATATATCGGCCAATATTTTTTCTTTATTAATTTAAGAGATTTGTTATATATAATTTTTTCCCAAAAAGCGATTTGTTACAATTCAAATAAATTAATTACATTTTTTTGGAACTTTTGAAGCCCCTTCTTGAGATAAGAAAGGTAAATAAGGATTTGCATATATGCTTCTAAAGATTTGGATGAACGGTAGGAGTTATGAGTTTCTCTTCTTTTAATGTTGCAAATAAACCTCAAATGGTCAATGGGACTTCAACGAGATTATGGATCCTGTTAGAGGAGAAATTAGCACATTTTCTTGAGCCCGTCATCATTAGTAAAGTCACAAAGCCCAATCCAATCACTTGGAGGATTGACAAGCACGATAGACAAGTCGCTACCCGCTGAAGGCAGGGACAAGCCTGCTCCCTACAAGGAAAATCTGTCTCGCCACAGAGATCCGTCTCGCCGCGAAGATCTACTTCGCCGCAACGATCCCCTCCGCCAAGAAAGGACGAGAGCCCCCCTCCGTCCGCACCACGCCGCTCGAGAAAATCTTCCTCGAGCGACAAACCCCGCAGCTCGAAGAAATCCTCCTCGAGCGAGAAGATCCTCAAACTCATGGAGAATCTCGTCAAGCCACTCGCCGACGGTTTCGAGTCAATGCGAGCACAGCAGAAAAAGACTCAGGAACAGGTGGAAGCCCTAGCACGAGAAGACGATGAAGATCCGTCAAGTCCCACCTGACGGAACAACCCCCCGTCCCGCGCACTTCAGGCGACTTACCACCAAGAACTTGAACGGATGAATCGTCGCCTCGACGAGGTCGATTCGAAAGTTCATCGCGCCACCAGCTCAGCTCCGGAATTGACGAAAGCACTCGCCGATACCCGAAGAAGCCCGCTCACCCGCAGGCTCCGCCAGATCGAACTACACGAAAGAGTTCGACTCAAAATCGACTCTTACACCGGCGAAGAAGACCCCAAGAAGTGGCTAACCGCGTTCAACCTCGCCATGAGGAGGGAGAAATACAAATCTTACGATGAAAGGAGGCCAACTACTGTCAAGTATTCGTCGAGCACATGGCGAAAGATGCCTTGACCTGGTTCTCTAACCTCCCCGCCGAGTCGATCGATAACTTCGACGACCTAACCAATGCTTTTCTGAAGCATTACTCCATGCACATGACCCGAATCACTCGGAACATGTTCACCACAACGCAAACCCAAGGCGAACCATTGCGCAGCTTTATGGAAAGGTTCAAACAAGCAGCTCGCGACACTGGCGACATGCCCGATAGCGTCCCGCTGGAAGCACTCCGCAACGGCCTCTGGTACGACTCCAAGTTTAAGGAGGATTTGTCACTAAAACCCCCTGCGACTCTGGAGGACGCGTTCCACCGCTCTCGGAACTACATCTTCCTCGAGGAAGACCAGCGCTTCTACGCCGAGAAGCATGGAGATAGGAGGGCAACCTCGTCGAAACCCAGAGAGAACCCATGGAGGCGCGAAGAAGACACGATCCGAAGAGGTCTCTCCTCGCAGCGTTCGCAGCAGCCGACGATGATCCGAGCAAGAACACGCAGCGGCCGTTTCGATGCCACAAGACATCAACTCGCTCGGAGATGACAACGATACCAAAGCTTTCTGCAAGTTCCACGGGGAACTGGCCACGCCACTGAAAACTGCAAACACCTAATGAGCAACCTCATGCGCATGTACCATCGAGGAGAAATCCCGCCAATGGACGGCGATAGGTCCCAAGGAAAAAGCTTCCCGCCGAGACCACCAAAATCTGGGCAACAGGAGAAGCGCGGACGACAACCCCGTCCGAGAAGGATGCAGAAAAGGCGGAAGCCCCGCTTGGGAAAAGGAATCGTGACGACCACGACGACCTACCTCCACCACCGAAGCGACAAGTCAGCATGATCATGGGAGGCCTCCTGGATAACGACGATTCCATATCGGCGATCAAGGAATACGAGCGAAAGGCCGTCGCGGCACAACGCTACCCATATCCATAAAGGGATCCCTACAATCTCCTTTCATGGATAAGGACGCAAGCGGATTAGATATCCCCCACCTCGACCCCTCGTGGTCACTTGCAGATTCACGACTGTGACGTCGCAAAGGTTCCTAATTGATACCGGGAGCACGGTGAACCTCATCTTCCTAGAGACACTGGATCGCATGGGAGTGGAACAGGAATCCATCAAACCTACATCCCGTCCCCTCACCGGTTTCACCGCCGAATACACCTACAGTTGCGGAACAGTTCGGCTCCCCGTTTATGTCGGCGGAATTTCGAAGCTCTTGAAGTTCATTGTCATGGACAAACCGGCCATCTACAACGCAATACTTGGCACCCCCTGGCTCCACGAAATGAAGGCCGTCGTCTCGACTTTCCACCAGTGCGTGAAATTCCCAACGCCATCCGGAATTTACACCTTGCGTGGGGATCAAAGAGTGACGCGATCATGCTTCCTTCGCGAGCGCAAGCTCCGCACCGCATCATCCTTTATGATAGCCGAACCCTCAAACCAACCACCTCGCGAAGATCTGAGCCAGTATTGTACGACGAGACCGACGGACTCGATACAGCTGGATACATCGCCACGACGCTGGGAGAAGCACCGCCATTTCCGCAGCAAACGCCGAACCCGCATGGAAATCCGACTTAAGGTCCAGCCTTAACACCAAGAAACTCTCCAATCTGTTCAAGATAAAGCAGCTCGAGGACGAACCGCTGCGGAGCTTCCTCGACAGATTCAAAAGCGTGCTCCTCGACCTTGACGAGACCCCGGGCGAGCCCCCAATCGCAGAAACAACGCTCATCCAAGCCATCCAATGTGGGCTTTGGTATCGATCTAAGTTTCGTGAAGACTTCTACATTCGATCCTTCCGAACACTGAAGGATGTCTTCCTTCGCGCTGAAAACTACATCTGCCTCGAGGAGGACATCCTATAGATGCGCTCCGATCAAAGGAACCGTCGAACCCGGTTGGAAAACAAAAAGAGGTCATCATCCCTCCGCCCGAAAAAACCATGCATAAGACGCCAAGATGCTATCACGAGTCATCCCCTTGCCGAGCATCTGCGCGGCGATGCCCTAGCATGGTTCACCAACCTCCGGGCCGATTCCATCGACAGCTTCGACAATCTGGCAGCCGCTTTCCTAAAGCAACACCTCCGTTTCGCACTAGACGACCTCGTCCTCTGCAAAACCGATGGTGACACGATCTATGGTCTCGGCAAATTCGGCCCCGATTGGGAAGGACCATTCCGCATCGCGAAAGTCGTCAAACCAGGAGTTCTATCAGCTGGAAGACAACCTAGGCATCACGTCCGATCGCCTCTGGAGCTCTTCGGACATGCGCAAGTTCCATGACATGAACATTTGTAACGAACTACGAATGGCTTGATCCCGGCACGGGTACGTAGGCAGCCTTTCTAAGGCGCAGCTATAATACTTAATAAAATTTTAAAGTTTTATTAAGACCCCTTTAATCTCGACAAGCGCGCCTCATCTGGCATAAGCATAAACTTGTCGACATTACGCACACACCTGTTTGACGTCAAACCAAGTTATTGAGGCAAACTCAATAAGCACTTGCACTTTGCACCCTAAAAACATGGACTGATCACCCATTCATTAAGCCGAGAGCACGCACCTCGCACGGCTCTCAGTTCGTCGGACGAGCGAAAAACCGCTACCTCGTCACCCGCACGAAGCTTTGAAGTCGGAAGCATAAATCGAGTTTCTAGAGCTCGTCGCTGAAAGTAGGTTTAACATCCTAAGCACACAGACCTAATACGCGCCGGTCGGTGTCTCGAATGAGAAGTCATGACGAAACGAAAGCATCGCGTCTAGTCATGACGCATTAGCACCATCACGCGCACCATGTCGTGATACACTTAAAGGTAACGAGTCATCCCGATAATCGAATTTCCTACTCGGTGACGACCAAGTACTTAATTCATTTTATGCGGTTGACGACACCATCGTCCTTTATTAAAAGACATAACTAAAAGCCGGATTACTTTCGTTGCGCTGCGAACTAATCAATTATGTCTAAAGTCGTGACCACGCAGAACACACAAGCAATAAAAAAGTCATACTTAAAACTTTAAAGTATCTAGCATAGAAGCACAAATCCTAAAGCATACGGATGAAAACCTTCCCAGGCAATGTTATTACAACAAAAAGGCCGCAGCCAGAAAAGTCTTAAAACAAATAAAAATGGGGCCTAAGCAGACTTGGCCCCAGAAGTAGAGGGTCCCGCACCCGGATCCAGCACCATCACCGTCTCGACGAGAAGGAGATCCCGGCAGCACCAGCCGTTTAAGGCTACAAAAGCAAAACAAACGCATAAGCAAACGTAACGCTTACGCAAAGCACGACATACAAAAAGAAGAAGTAAAAACGTTACCTGTTAGGCGGAGCGAAGTCATCATCATCGATAACAACCTCGTCGATCGCATCCCCATCTGCGATGCTCTTCGCCAACTTGGCCGCGAGCTTCTCCTCCACCGCGTCGAAGTTCAGGTCCACTCCCCGAATCTTCTTCACAAAGTTGAGGAGAGCTTCGTCAACTTGCCTCCTCCCCACAGCGGCTTCAACCATGTCCCGCTGCGCGACGAACTCCGACAAGCGATGGAGACGAGGAGCGTACCAGTCATTCACCGAGTCGAAGACCTGAGTCACAAGCCGCCTCGACCGATTCTCGACGAGACCGTCGGAGACGCTCCATCTCAGCAGCAGAAGCCTCTGCATCCCGACGCCTTCTCCTCCAGATCACCCGCTTGAGCTCTGAGCTGGTCTGCCACTCCTGGAGTCCGAGAGTCTTCACGATCTCCCTGTTCAGCCGCGACCTTCGACTCAAGTGCCAAGTTTGTCCCTGCGTTAAATCGGCCACCTCGTATCAACATCTTGGCCTTTCTCCTGCTCCCGCCGCAACGCAAAGGCTTCGTCCTTAGCCGCCGAAGCGCCGTCTCGTACTTCTGGATCAGCGCAGCAAACTTCCCGCCGGACATAACGTGATGCTGAGCCGCCTCATCGAATTCGTCTCTAAGGGCCAAGCCTTCACGTGGGACGCCCCAAGTAGGGTGGACCTTGGAAGACCAAGTCTTCCCACCAGAGGCATCCCGATCCTCCATGAGAGGACCGGTACCGTACCACCTCATCTCGAACGAATGGGCATTGTAATCTTCAGGATCAGGCTTCGGAGGCATGCCGACATCCTTGGAATCAAGATTCGGTCGAGGAGCAGAACCGCGCGCCTCCGAACGGCGAGAAACCGCCTCGTCATCGGGACGTCGATGCGATTCATCTCCCCCGAAACCACCGCCTCGGACAAACGAGGGACCGTCATCGCGGGAAGTAAGGAACTCCTCCTCCCAAACCGGCGAGGTACCACCCGGCGGGATCATCGCATCGTCGTCACGTCGAGGAGCGTCCTCGCTTCGACGGGATGCATCGTCATCACGGTTTGAAGGAGGGGAGTCGAGCTCGACCACCCCTTCTGGAATCTTCTCCGGAGCCGAAGATGACGTCCTTCTCGCCGAAGCCCTGCGAAAAACATCAAAACTCAACATCAAAACTGATTGGTCGTCAAATTTGCAGTTATCTGGCGAACGGATAACTCATCTCGTACGCGACGTGATGGAAGAACTCCGGAGAGAAGGAGAAGGGGAATCTCCTGGTTTTGGGGATTCGACCCTCTTCTTCTTAAACGCCGGCTCAGAAGCAACAACAACATCGTCAATCGGTATGGCGGTCCTCTTTCTAATACCCATCGGCTTCTTCTTAAGTCGGGGTGACCTCGCGGAAACAGAGTAAGAAAAATGATGATAACACTAGGCGATCCGCAACGGAATCGAATTTAGAGATGAGATACCTACCGGATATCGGGGTCACAGGGACGGCAGGCTTGCTCCTCCCCTCTTTCTTTTCCTTTCTCTCTCTCTTCTCTCTGTCAAGCTTCTCCACGACTTCAGGCCATATCCGATGACTAAGATCCCTTAAAGCATTGAACTTGTTCTTAAGAGCCGCGCTCTGCCTCGCTCGTCTTAATGGATCTGCCAAAAAGGAGACATAAAGATCAGCGAAAAGCATTTCAATGAAACAACAAGGTGAACAGTTCTGCCGATGTACTACCCGGCGAAGAAACCCAATCGGTTTTGATCTGCTCGGATTTGAAATTTCCGACCGACGCCTTGCTAATCTTCACAAAAAAGAAGTAGCGCTTCCAATCGGGAATCCTATCCCGATAATCACCGAAGACGATTCTATTACGCATCGCGGTGTGGAAACGTTTGAAATTCCCTTCCCACTTGGATCCGGCACGAAGATCTGTGACGTTCTCAAAAAGGTAGCGGTCGAACGTGATATTCGCGGCCTTCGCCAAGGCTTCCGTGAAAACCATGTGACGAAAGACGCCATGAGTCAGTTGACTAACGGCGACACCTCGTTCGGAGGCGAATTTCAGCAACAGGAAAGGCAACGGAAACTTCATTCCGTACTCAGTGAAAAAGCATTCGTACACGCATATCCATCCCGGCGGAGCATCATAAGGCCTCTCGTGCTCCTTCGGAATCCGAAACTGGATGCAACCCGAAAAGCCGACTCTCTTCGTCAGCGCCTTAAGAATCTCAGGAGTCATCCACGTCTGACCATCCGTTATACACGGCAGTTTGGATTCAGCATGCTCCGGCATCTCAATAATCTCAGGAATGCCCGTCAAGCGAGGACAACCCGGAACCTCTTCATCGTCGCGTTCCGAGTCAGCATCAGAATCGTCCGACGGAATCCCGTCGTGATATCCGTCCTCGGAATCATAGTCATCATAGAGGTCACGCTCTATCCTCGCCTTCATCCTTTTTTCCGCCGCTTCTCGACGATCGGCCTCGGCGGCAACTCTTATCGCCTCTTCCATCTCGGCTCTCTCGACCACTCTTTCGGCCTCAGCCGCGGCATCCGCTTCGGCAGCCTTCCTCCGGCGCGTCTCGGCCGCGTCAGCACGGATGGCCTCGCCAAGGAGCCTGTCGGGATTGCCGGATGACCGGGCCCGACGCTTGGTGTCGTCACCATCGCCCGTGGCGATACCTTTCCCCTTTCTATCTTGTGAATCCATCTCGATTACGCGGAGAAGATCCAAAGACAAGAGGAAATTTTCCATATCACAAAAGAGGAAGTTTTCTATCTCGCCTGAAGGGGAATATCCATCATTCGATCAAGATATCAGCACTATATATTGAAGACCCTCCTCATGGAGAAAGGCATCCAGAATTATCCGAAATCACCTAGAATCATTAGGCCATCTTACTAGCTTTACTTCCCTTCTCTTGTTCACCATCACAATTTCGCTAGGCTTGTTAGCGAGATTGATCCTCTTGTAATCTTCTTGATAATCTAAGAGTCGAATTCAGCGCTCCAGTTTCCTAAACTCACATCTTTGATAGCCTGTCTTGACGAGTGCTATCTCGGATTCAAACAGATCCTCACTAATCATCTAATCCTCTAGTGATAAGTACAACAATGGCAATGAGAAGCTTTGGGGAGTGTTTGTCAAATCTGAGACTCTTTGATATGGTTTCTTAGAGTCCAAAGTTTAGATGGTCCAATAAACATCAACCAGCTCCTGTGTTTAAAAAAAGTTGAACAAATGTTTGATAAATGATGATCAACGGCTGCTTCTCTTTCCCTCCACCCATTGCACGTTTGAGTTTTCTGACCATTCTCCATGTCACGTGAGATTGATTACCCCTCCATTTTGGTATTAGGCCTTTCAAGTTTTACAATTTCTTGAGAAAGCGTCATGCAACATAATAGGATATGAAATTATTGGTGCAGTTCTGAATTATTTATCGGCTTCTTTTAGGCCAAAGACGCTCTACACTCAACAACTCTGGTCCGGATGCACGCACGCGCGAGATTCTGCTGCTAGTTTCTACAGTTTTTTTTAGTTCTTACTTTGTTCTTTTGGTTTTTTATATCACGTGTTAATTCACGTGACTGGAATAAACGAAAAGCTAGTTTAAATTTGTTACTTAAGGATAAATAATGGTTCTACGTTTTTGGATGAAATGTATATAGAAAAAGAGATAGAATTACACGTGAGGAGAATCGAATCTTGGCAAGTGTCAATGCAAAAAATGACTTTACCTCTCTTATTTTTAAAAGCCATAATCTAAATTCAACATGTGTGGAAAAAACTTGTACAATATTACACAACAAGAGATGTGTAATAGGATAATAGGCCTCATGGAATAATACAATGCTTAATAAATACACTGCTAGATAGATCGAATCTTATATATCATCCATATTATCTCAAGTTCTCAACTTGCAAATTTATTGAACGTTTTCAATCTTCACGTATACTTCTCGTGCCATTTATGCATTTCACTTTGTTTTTTCTTTTTTTTTTTTTTTTCATTTTTCTGCTACTTCTCTTTTCTTTTCTTTTGACCTTAGTAACCTTGCAACATTAGTCACTTAATAGTCTGTTAGAACTTGGCTTTGAATTGTGAAAGTTTCTTGTTCTTTCTCTTAGAGTAAAGTGCGTAAACATTGGTTCATTGTGTTCTTTCTCTATAAAATGTACAGTTAACTTGTATCAAGTAAAACAGACATTCACAATTAATCAACCTACTCAAATTTGACTAATTAAACCAACTAACAGCAATCCATATCATTTTCTCAACTAATTGCGCTACGAGCAAGAATCTCATTGTATCATTGTGCTTTATTATATAGCAATTAATTGGATCAATATTTATTGCCTGTGTTAACTTCAAAAAGGGAGAAAAAGGATCTTTAGCAGGAGATGAGTGTCTCTTTCAAATCTGATTTGAGAGCTACCAAAACCCACACAAATGGTAAGGCCCATAAGCAAGCACGGCATTCTCTATTTTTATGAGATTGTGTTGGTGACTTGGTGCCTTGGTGGTAGTGAATAGTGATGTGGACCAGCTAGGGCCGTTAAGTCTAATGAATGACAAATATAAAGTTAATAATCTAGTACTAGGTTAGTTTAGTAATATATTAAACTTATGTTTTAATAAATTACTAGTATTAGCTCCATATTATGTAAATATAAGATTAATTAATGCGAAACTTATTGTTAATAACTAGATGGTGATCTAGTGGTTTGCCTTCGAATATTGACGCATATACTACATCTACATGCATCTATTTCTGGTTACAAATGTTTTAAGTAGCAGTTATATATACTACACGAGTACACGTACTTGTGATAAAGCGATTAATGTATACAAGACCATGCACTCGCTTGCTCTTCACGCAACCACCAGTATTTACTCTGTTTGCATTTTCAGCCTTTTTGCCCAGCAAAACGCCACCTACACAAATACAATCCACGTACGTAAAGCTCAAGAGTTTCAGCTTCTCATTGGGATGGCTAGGGTAATATGCTATATAGTTCCAAGTTCCAACACGATTCTAGCTCATCTACAGCTCTTCTCTAACCATCTTACAACCTCTCTCTCCAAATCTTTCACAGACAATGTAATCCTATCCTTCATATCACCATACATCCGGTTATCTCTCTGCAGATACATCTCCTTTGTTTTCAAAATGCCTGTGATTCTGTGAGAATCTCTTCTTCTTTAGCAGCTCCGTAGTAGTTCATCAACGACATGAGTACGAGAAACAAAGCCATGTGTATATATGTCCCGAATTGCATTCGACCTTTGCAATAATTTTATCATCTCAAAGATCGTTAACTTTTTTATATGTAATTACTGAATACTTATTATGCATGTGAATATGTGATGATCATTTCAGACGAGCTGCTCTGGCTACAAACTGTCAAACTTCTCTAATCCACTAACGTATCCAATGTGTCTGTCGTTATGCTAACTTGTTTTTTTTGTAAAATTTGGACATATGTGAGAAATTTCAAACTAGTGTGATTCCAATCCAAGTTATACGTTTAGAAAACGGTTTTCGGTCCCAGCCCCCCTCTACTAGTCACAATAAATCGGAATCCACCCAAACTTTCCGCCTCTGTCTATTCCCCCCCAACAACTTATTTTCCTGTCGATTCCCCCATATCAAATAAAATTCTCTAATCTGCGTTTTAACCTACAAAAACACGTTTCTGAGACAGTGATTGCCCGATAAAAAACCCGCTTTGTCTCACGCTTAAACCCGATCTATCATTACCAAACCCGACAATTAATGCTATCTTTTGAGATTATGAATGATCTTTATTGGATTGTGCTTTGAGTATAAACCTGAGAAAAGCATGAATGCATTACACATTTGACCATTGCTCCAAACCATTACTTAAATAACATTCCGACATGAGTTCCATTCAACTTAAATAACCATGCCACAAAGCTTACAAGACTCCAAAACATTGTTTCTTAACAACTTAAACGACATGACACAACATGGGTTCCATTCCAACACAAACCTAACTCATAATAACCTTACCACAAAGCCATCCTATTGTCCCAAAAACCAAAACCGTGATTCCAAGTTTCTGCATACACGTTTTTGCCATTTCTCGAGCCATCTCTCCAGCCATCTTCTTCTTAGTCTCAGTAGCTATCATACTTTCCTCCTTTAACTTCTCTTCCAGCTTCTCTTTCACCTTCTCTTCCACCTTCTCTTTCACCTCTTTTTCCATCTTGCGAGTTAAACTTGATTGAAGATCCAAAAGTTTCACCATTTCTTTTCTCAACTCTTTCACCTCTTCTTCAAGCTTTTCCTCTACCATTTTTGTCTCATCAAGCAAAGCCTCATCAATCCATTTGAAAATATGTTCTTCAGTTTTTCTCTACACAAACACACAAATTACTCTAATTCTCCTCTCAAATACTTTTTAACATATCTATACATACAATCGATTAGATTATACCTGCAATGCGAGCTCACAGCGGTAGAATCTGCGAAATGGATTGTCCTTGGTTTGAGCAGCATATGTCACAAGGTTTCTCCCACACCAACATCTTGTTGGAACTCCACGCACTGACCTTCGGTTAGACAACCGAGATGAAGAAGAAGAAGAAGAGCTCATTGTCTCCTCTTCGAATTTCAAGGATTTGATTTCAATTTCTCGCAACAAAATAAGAACCCTAAGCCCCAAATCGATTTTGTGTTTCAAGAGAAGTGTGAAGTGAAAGTTAATTGTCGGGTTTGGTAATGATAGATCGGGTTTAAGCGTGAGACAAAGCGGGTTTTTTATCGGGCAATCACTGTCTCAGAAACGTGTTTTTGTAGGTTAAAACGCAGATTAGAGAATTTTATTTGATATGGGGGAATCGACAGGAAAATAAGTTGTTGGGGGGGAATAGACAGAGGCGGAAAGTTTGGGTGGATTCCGATTTATTGTGACTAGTAGGGGGGGCTGGGACCGAAAACCCTTTAGAAAAAGAAAAATAAAAATATAAGAGGATTTCTTAAGTATTCTATAAAATATTCCCCTAAACCTACCAGACTCTTAATTTCATCAAATATGAGACAAGGCCTTCTCACAAACAAGCCATTGATGAAAGCTCTACCGAATCAGAACACCAAGCAGCAGAGATCCAGATAAATACAACCGAGAGATGTAACAATAAATAAACAGATGGAATAATTAGAAAGAAAAAAAATAATTCATATCGAAAAGAGACAGCAAAAACGAAAACGAAATAGAGACAAAAAAAAGAAGAAGAGAACACAGAGACATACTAGGGTTCCCTTCTACAGAGGAGGGCTAAGATGAGGATAAAATGTTAATTATGAGAAAAGTTTGCTTCAAAATCCTTTTTCTTGGAGTTTCTTATGGCTGACTGGTTTAACCACTGCGGTTGCGGTTGCGGGTGCGGGAGTTTGCGGAAGCGGACGGTTGTGATTAGTAGCGTTATTAAACGGTTTGTACGACTGACATAACAATTGAAAATGGATGCGTTTGCGGGATACTTATGACTGATTCACTTGCGGATGTAATAACAGTTAAACAATAAATTAATAGTATAAACACATTATATTATTATAAAAATATCAAAACTATATTATAATGAAAAATTTAAATTTATGGTTCAACATAATGAAAAATAAAATTTTATAAAGAATAATCTGTGTATAATATTACGTCTATCTTTTAATTTCTATAATTTAAATAAAAATGTGATTATATTTTCAAAATATTTATTTAATGTGAAAGTTAAATTTATATTACAATTTTATTTATTAAATATATATGTATTAGTATGAAAAGAATATTTATCAACAGAATTTTGATTTGTAGAACTTATAAATATATAAGTATGATATGATTTTAAAGAATATTGACTAAAAGTACTAATTTTTTTTTTTATATTGTGATTTTATTATCCAAATCTTATTTTTTAATAAAGATTACTATTGATTTTCGGATTTTATATAAATTTGTTTTTTTTTTTTAATTATCCACCCACAACCGTCCGCAACCGCAAACGTTGTTGGAAAAAATCTTTTAATCTTGAGGGATGTTGAGAGATCTTGAGCGGTTTAAAGCGGTATAAAGCGTTTGTGGTGATTGTTGTCAAACGCCAATAACCGCTACTAGCCACAAACGCTGCGTTTGCGGGTAGCAGCGGGTGATCAATCAGCACCTTAGGCTCCAAGTTGTTGTTTCAAAACTCTCACACTCACACAAAAACTTCACAAGTTATGAGTATATCTGTATATGTAGGCTATAGTTAAATTTTCATAAATCTAGCTTCAGTTTTAACAAAAATAATTAAGATTCATAGAAGCAAAGTAAATAAAAATAAGAGATCGTTTATTTCAATCTTTAAATTATTTGTCTTCTTATTAGACTTTCATTATTTTCTTGACATGCACAAAAAAAAAAACCCTCAACGTCTTCTTGATTAAGGCCAATATTACTTAGCCGAATTCCAATTCAATAACACCAATAAAGCTCAGTCGTCTCAAAAACACCAAAGCAAAACTCTCTTTCTCCCTTTGTTCACGCGACGTGTGAATAAAGAATTAAACAGATCTTCTCGAACTTGACTTTGTAAGTATGTGAGAAATTTCAAAGTGATGTTCCAATTCAAGCCATACGTTTCGTCTTCTTGATTAAGGCCAGATTACTTAGCCGAATTCCAATTCAATAACACCAATAAAGCTCAGTCGTCTCAAAAACACCAAAGCAAAACTCTCTTTCTCCCTTTGTTCACGCGACGTGTGAATAAAGAATTAAACAGATCTTCTCGAACTTGACTTTGTAAGTATGTGAGAAATTTCAAAGTGATGTTCCAATTCAAGCCATACGTTGGAAAAATAAACTAACGGAAATTTCACTTCAGGATTTGAGTCGCCCTCAGCCACTTAGACATACTTTCTCCAAGTCCTGATACAGAGACTTCACTTAGTCTCTCGCTGTTTCCAAGTCAATTTGCGAAACCCCACACCTCTATTTATACCAATCTTCTTTCTCACTTTTCTTAAAACAAAAACATTCTCCCTTAAAAGTTTCACATGACGACCATGTTGAAATCCTGTATGCGTTTGCATTTTCTCTTGCTGCTCTTATTCTGTTGTGTCTCTCCTTCAAGCTTCGCCTTCCGTTTTAAAAATCCTGTTGTTGGTCTTGTTGCTTGTCGTCCACACCAGATTCAAGCCCTTACACAATTCAAAAATGAGTTTGATACCCGGCGTTGCAACCCCAATGACTACTTCAATGGGGTGTTGTGCGATAACTCGACAGGTGAAGTCACAATGCTACGGCTCAGGGCCTGTCTCAGTGGAACTCTGATGCCCAACAGTAGCCTCTTCAAATTCCATCATCTCCGTCACCTTAATCTCTCTGGAAACAACTTCATTTCCTCTTCACTTCCTTCTGAATTTGGAAACCTAAACAGGTTAGAGATCTTGTCTCTTTTCTCAAGTGGCTTCCTCGGCCAAGTTCCTTTATCATTTGGTAACCTAAGCCAACTTACCTATTTAGAGCTTTATGATAACAAGCTCACTGGTAGTTTTCCACTTTTGCGGAATCTAAGCATGCTCAAAGTTTTAGACCTTTCTGGAAACCACTTCTCTGGAAGTCTGGATCCCAAAAGTAGCCTCTTTGAGCTGCACCAGCTCCATTACCTTAATCTAGATTTCAACAACTTCAAATCCTCCTTACCTTCTAATTTTGGAAGTCTCAACCAATTAGAAGTTTTGCACCTTCAGTCTAATGGCTTCTTCGGCCAAGTTCCTCCCACAATTAGTAACTTAACCGGGTTAACCGAGTTGTTCCTTTCCAATAACCGATTAACTGGTAGTTTCCCACTTGTACAAAATCTAACCAAGCTCTCCCATATAGACCTTCTTAATAATTACTTCACAGGAATCATTCCTCCTTCCATCTTCACTATGCCTTTCTTGTCATATCTTAACCTCCAAAGAAACGATCTAAATGGTTCTATTGAAGTTCCTAATTCCTCTACGTTATCCAGACTCCAAACCCTGTACCTTGGGCATAACCATCTTGAAGGAAACATGCTTGAGCCTATCTTAAAGCTCACCAGCCTCACCCAACTCGACCTTTCTTTCCTAAACACAAGCTACCCAATTGACTTAAACTTTTTCTCCTCTCTCAAATCTTTGTTCTCCCTGAATCTTTCCGGCAACAAGATATCTACGGCCAGTTTAAGTTCAGATTCATACATCCCATTGCAACTGTTGTTCTTGAAACAGTGTGGCATTAAGGAGTTCCCAAACATCTTAAAGTCCCTTCAGAATTTGTACGCTATAGACATGTCCATCAATGAAATCACTGGGAAAATACCTGAATGGTTATGGAGCCTTCCTCGTCTCAACTCGGTGGTAGTTTCATATAATTTGTTTGATGGTTTCAAAGGTTCCACGAAAAAGTTAGTCAATTCATCGGTGCAGATTTTAGTTTTGGACAAAAACTATTTCCAAGGAGCACTTCCTCATTTACCACTCTCTATCAAGGATTTCTCTGCAAGCCACAATCGATTCAGTGGGGACATACCTCTTTCAATCTGCGACAGAAGTTTGCTTTTTAACCTTGAACTAAGCTACAACAACTTCACTGGCCCAATTCCTCAATGTCTGAGTAACTTGACGTATCTGAAGCTCCGGAAGAACAACTTGCAAGGAAGTATTCTTGACACGTTCGATGTTGATGCGACTCTCCAGACACTCGACGTTGGCTTCAATCGACTAACCGGAAATCTTCCAAGGTCTCTCCTAAATTGCTCATCTCTAAAGATTCTAAGCGTGGACTCCAACAGAATCAAGGACACGTTTCCTTTTTGGCTCAAGGCATTACCGAATTTGCAAATCCTTACTCTCAGCTCAAACGAGTTATATGGTCCAATATCTCTTTCTCATCAAGGTTCTCTTGGATTTCCGGAGCTGCGTATATTTGAGATATCTAATAACAAGTTTTCTGGAAGCTTGTCGCCAGATTACTTTGTCAACTGGAAAGCATCATCACGCACGATGAATGAAGATGAATGTCTATATATGGTTTACAATATTAAGGCGCTTTACGGTGGTGACTTAAGCTTCACTATTACGGAGACTGGAGGTTTGCATTATAAAGGTCTACACATGGAGCAAGCGCAAGTCCTTACTTCCTACGCCACCATTGATTTTTCTGGAAATAAACTTGAAGGACAGATTCCTGAATCTCTTGGTCTTCTGAAGGCACTGATTGCACTCAACTTATCCAACAATGCCTTCACGGGCCATATCCCTCTGTCTTTTTCCAATCTGGGCAAGCTCGAGTCACTAGACCTATCAAGCAACCACCTCTCAGGGACTATTCCTAATGGACTCGGGAGCCTCTCGTTTTTGGAGTACATTAATGTGTCTCACAACCAACTCCAAGGTGAAATACCACAAGGAACACAGATTACTGGACAACCTATATCATCATTTGAAGGGAATTCAAGGCTTTGTGGTCTTCCTCTCCATGAAAGTTGTTTTGGGAATCATGTGCCATCAACACAACCACCTAATGAAAATGAAGAAGATGAAGAAAAAGAACAAGTTTTGAGCTGGAAAGCAGTGGCAATAGGGTATGGGGTTGGAGTATTTCTTGGATTGGCAATAGCACAAGTGATTGCTTCTTACAAGCCAGAGTGGCTCACCAAGATAATTGGAACAAATAAGCGTAGAAACCATTAGGTTTGTTTCAGTCTGGTGTTTGAGATTTCCTTGTCTGTTGAGTAATTTTGGTCTTGTCTTGAAGCATTCCAATGTTTGTTGTATCTTAATCTAATACTCTTGAATTTTATGTAGTCGTATTCGTATACATATATCTCTGCTATGTACCTAATGAGAAAAGCATTACAAAGACATGGTTTATGTTATGAGATTTATACATACATCTTATACTACTAAAACATAAATACACTAGAAAATAACCTTGATATTACATGATATGTCACTGGGCATTTATAATTTTGCTAAAAAACACTGAAGATAAAAATCAATGACAAAATAATTTTATCTCTCGGTTGTAGCTCTTCGTCATAAACTTTTTCGTTATGTATCTTTTCACGTATCATTTAAATTTACTAATAACTAGAGTTTGACCCGCGCCTTGCACGGGTGATATTTTCTCAATTTGATTTTATTAAAAGATGTCTATTTACATACAATTTTAGGAACATAGAGTGTTAGACAATTAAAAAAATGTCAATTTACATTAGACGAAATTTTGAGTGATGCATATTTTTTTAGCCTGGTTTGATTTTTGTCATCGTTTACAGTGTGGTAATCTAACATTTGCTTTAACAACAGTTTCTCCCTTTCCGAACCCACATATATATTAAATTTTAATACATTTAAAATAATTTTATATTTTGATAAATATAAAATGGCATATATATTTTATGTTTTTATCAATTTTAAATAACTAAAATAATTTAACTTATATGATAAGTTATTAGAATTTATTACGTTTAAAATTTTGATCAAACCAAAATATTAAAAAATACGATTTAATTATTTAATTCAATTAAAGAATCAAATTAAATCGAATAAAAGAAATTTTAAAGATTTCCAAACATGGTAAATTTTTCTTTCCTATTTGTGATTATGGTTGATCATTATTTGGATCCTATTTTATAATAGGTTTTTGAACTATTATCCCAAAATATAATCATGTGGGACATTTAACATTTTTAGAGATTTGCTTCATTTTTAAAAATTCAAACCATAGCATATGTAGAAAAAAACTAATTTTCTTTTTTTAAATATTTTGATGTGATGATATAATTTATTCTTGAAAGTAAAGCTAAACAAAAATGATAGATGAATAAATTAATTTTTAAACAATTAATATAATACAATTGAATAAAACTTTCCATATTTTACTGATTGATTGACTAATAAATAAATTTTCGTCATTACCAAATAAGGAAACTGAAAGAAAATAATTTTCATTAATAATTATTTTTCTGACTAAATTAATCATATATATTTCATTCTCTAACCAAATATGAATGGCATAACATGTAATTAGTCTAGTAATGTTTGTCTTAATTAAAACTAACCTTGAAAGTGAACCTGGTGTTGACACATCAGCATGACATTTCTGTTAATAACACATGAGACAAAGGTTTATTTTATAGTGTTTTCTCTTTTAATATATTAGGGATTGCATCTTTGATATTTTTTCCAATCAATTTATATTGATTCCACCCAATTCATTGTTTTGATAAAACACTTTCCAAATATAATTGTCTTCACGCGTTGGAATCCTCCTAGTTAAAGAAAAAGGAAACAAGCGTTTCTTAGTAAACAAAGAAAAGGAAACTATATTCTTATAAATAGGTTAAAAGGCAGAGCCGACTATAGATCGAGAGCAAATCTTTTTTTCTTGTTCAGACGATCGTTTGCTCTGAAGCGATGGGAGAACGCAAAGTCCAGAGCAAGTATTATCCGCCAGATTTTGATCCGAGGAAGATACCTCGACTTCGGAGACCGAAGAACCAGCAGAAAAAGATTCGATTTATGCTTCCGGTACGGATTCGTTGCAACACATCTGGTACTTACATGTCGGAGGGCACTAAATTCAATTGCCGACAAGAAGAAGTCGTTGGAGAGATCTACGCATGGGAGATTAAAATCGTCAGGTTCTACATCAAGTGTACAAACTGCTCGGCCGAGGTGACCATTATAACCGATCCTAAGAACAATGGTTATACTGTGGAATCAGGTGCGACTTGCCTTTACAATAACAGACACGAGGAGGAAGAAAAGGAGGTAATAAACGAAAACGCATTGGAGTCTTTAGAGAAGAGAACTATAGTGTCTAAAAGAGAGATTGAAGTTATGGCTACCCTTGATGAGATGAAATCTATGAAGTCTAGACGAGCTTCCGTGAGTGTAGACTCAATGCTTGAGGCTTTGAGTAAAAGGGAAAAGCAAGAAGAAGAAGAGAAAGAGGAGGAGGAGGAAGTGCTTATAAAGTCTATACGATTTGGTAAGCGGACAAGGATTGATGATGAAGAGGGAAAAATTGATGAGGAGAAGAAGAAAAGCCCTAATAAGAGACGTGGTTGTGGTAAATCTCCAGTGCAAATCTCCTCAGTTCGTGTAATCACGAAGAAGTCTACGAATAATAATAAGCTACCAATGGGACTCCAATCTCTATGCCACAACTATGGCACCGACAACGATGAGGACTAGTCAATATTGTCTTTGGATTATGTTTTGTTTTTTTTTTTTTTTTTTTAAAGTCTATCTAAGTAACGAGCAAACAATACAAAGGAACGATTGGCAACGAAAAAATTGCTCTCACGGGCTGAAGTTGTTCTCAAAGATTCATTTTCAGTAGTTGTGTAAGAAGCAAATGTCACTCATGTCTAACAATTTAGCAAGATGATTATTGAATGATTAATATGGAAATTGTTCAATGAGTAGTCCAGTAAAATTAACTGAGCTCTAAGGTTAGTATTTCACATCAGTTTAACAACATATGTTACATATGAACCTTTGTAACTCTCAGACTTCCTTATTCTGTTTGCCACTAGATATAGTTTGCTCCTTCTCAAATCATTTTAGACGTTTATCCTCCGAAGGCTCCATTAATTAAGTCTTAAAAGTTTCATCTTCTGCAAAGATCCCTTCCATGCATTCAACAGCGTACCTGGACCTTGACGCGACGACATTAGCACATATATAACCATAAGTTGCTCACTCAAATTTTCATCCAAACCATTTTTCTTTTCTTGAGAGAATACAAACTTATATCTCAAGCAAGCACAATCCCTCCACGGTCCAATATGTGTGACATCACTAGAGACGACGGCTCTTGCCAAAGCGGCGTGGTGCGTAAGGAAAAAAGGGCCTATTTTCAGAGAAAATGGCCTTTTGTCGATGTAGTAAGAGCCTTAGTTGTCGTGATTGTGCACCTTTTGTTTCTCTTGGCGCCGTTTAACTACAAATGGGAAGCTTTGCGGTTTGGTTTTCTCCTCTTTGCTTTGACTATGCTCAGCATATAATCTGCGTTAGAGACATAAGACAAAAGATGCAAAATTATTTGCTCGAAAAAATTGAAGATCCACCGGTTTCTTTAGTGATTGTCTGATTAATGATGCAGCTAAAACTGGTTCCAGCATGGAAACCATGAGTATATGACCAACAACACAAAAGAGAAACATTCCATATCATCAACATTTAAACACTCAAGCATGTGAGTGCATGGTCGTTGCTTTAGAAAACAAAAAAGGATAAAAATGTAGGTGAAAATAGATAGGGGAGGAATCAAACTAGGAATTGATACTTAAGAACCTGAACCACTTAAACCACTGTGATACATAACATATTCGACAATTGGGGGCCTCTATACATATATATATCTTGGGGCCTGTGGCAAATGCCTTTTTCGATACACATGAGGCACAGCTCTAGGTGGAATAGGTTTCTCGTCTAATTCATGCATGCCATTATACATTTGATATAGCTTGTACCATTTAATCCATCTTTTCTCCTAAGGCTTGAAGCTGAGTTTTCCATTGTAGCAAGAATTTGAGCCATATCAGCTGGCCCTTGTGCTTTCATACTAATATGCTGGTCTTTAATTTCCTTGCAAAACAAAGAACACAAGAAGGATCAAGTATTCAATTGTCTTCTGTTTTTTTTTTTTTTCTTTTTTTTGAACAAAGCTTTGAATTGACGTCTTATGTTGTGAATTCAAGCGTTATATATGTAATGTCAATGAATATCAAACACATGCTATATTTTTATGGATTTTAATTGTTTTCTGAAAAAATCTAACTATGCAATTGCAATGATATTATGCTGGTCTTTAATTTCCTTGCAAAACAAAGAACACAAGAAGGATCAAGTATTCAATTGTCTTATGTTTTTTTTTTTTTTTTTGAACAAAGCTTTGAATTGTCTTATGTTGTGAATTCAAGCGTTATATATGTAATGTCAATGAATATCAAACACATGCTATATTTTTATGGATTTTAATTGTTTTCTGAAAAATTCTAACTATGCAATTGCTAGGCCTGGGCGTTCGGGTTTCGGTTCGGGTTCGGTTCGGTTCTATTCGGGTTCGGGTCTTTTCGGGTTGCTAAATTTTAGACCCATTCGGGTTTAGGGAAATTTCGGTTCGGTTTCGGTTTGGTTCCTGTCGGGTTCGGGTCGGTTCGGGGCTATATTTTATGGACCCGTTCGGGTTTATACAAATTTTGGTTCTTATTCGGGTTTCATTCGGTTCTGACTCGGGTTGGTTTTTTATCTGTTTTTATAACCCGAATATCCAAAATCCTACAAAATAACCAAAAAAACTTGTCTTTACTCCATCTTCTACTAAATGTTTTTAGACTTTTCGAATATTTTGGTTATTTTGTTCTAAATATAACTATTATATTAGATTTTTAATTGTAATTTTAGTTATTTTTTATTATTATAAGCCTAGAAAATAACTAATATTTTGGATATATAATTATATTTCGGGTATTCATTCGGTTCTCAGTTCGGTTCGGGTTCGGGTTCGGGTTTTCGGGTATAAAATTTTTGGACCCATCGGGTATTCGTCTTGGTTCTGGTTCGGTTCGGTTCCATCTTTTTCGGGTCGGGTTCGGTTCGGGGCTTTCGGGTCCGGGTAAAATGCCCAGGCCTAGCAATTGCAATGATATTATGCTGGTCTTTAATTTCCTTGCAAAACAAAGAACACAAGAAGGATCAAGAAACTCCTAGTCTACTGTCTGTGTGTCAATTCATTTGAAAAAATCTAGCGTACCATCAAAATGCGTGTCATTAAAATCTCAACTACGCAAGACTTCTTCATCAGTCTAAATATTATTTTTTGGAGTAGCCAGATTTATTAGTCCGCCTAGCTACGTATTTTTTAAGTTATTGGACCAAAGAAATAGCGTTCGCCGTTGGGGCTTTCTAAATTCAAACCTCGTTCGGAGACAAACCAATTAATTGTTAGCTGGTAAGCAGATATACACTGAACCAGTTCTAAATCTCAACAACTTACTTTGAATGTATATCAAAAGAGGCTGTAAAAAAACTTATTCGAATATTGGGTGTAGTGAAAAACATGTGCTGCTGGCAGGATATTAAAGATGGAATGGCATGAAAGAAGTAGATAGATGGCATTTAAGAAGACTGAGCAACTGCACTTAACAGCGTACGTGGACCTTGACGCGACGACATTAGCCTATATATAACCATAAGTTTCTCACTCAAATTTCCATGCAAACTTTTTTTTCATTTTTCTTGAGAGAATACAAACTTATATCTCAAGCAAGCACATTCCCTCCACGGTCCGATATGTGTAACATCCCTAGAGACGACGGCTCTAGCCAAAGCGGCGTGGTGCGTAAGGAAAAAAGGGCCTATTTTCAGAGAAAATGGCCGTTGGTCGATGTAATAAGAGCCTTAGTTGTCGTGATTGTGCACTGTTTGTGTCTCTTGGCGCCGTTTAACTACAAATGGGAAGCTTTACGGTTTGGTTTTCTGCTCTTTGCTTTGACTACGCTCAGCATCACATTCTCATACCATAGGAACTTGTCTCACCGGAGCTTCAAGGTCCCAAAATGGATTGAATATCCTTTCGCTTATTCTGCTGTTTTCGCTCTTCAGGTGAAAAGCATTAATGAGTGAATCTTAATAAAATTAATGTAAACATATAAATACGTCAATTTGTTTTTCTTCTCCTTTTCAGGGTGACCCTTTGGATTGGGTGAGCATACATAGGTTCCATCACCAGTTCACAGATACGGATCGCGACCCACATAGCCCCAAAGAAGGATTATGGTTCAGCCATATCTTGTGGATATTTGATACCGAATATATCAAATATAAGGTAATGTAACTTAACGTGCAAACATCTCTCATATTCTTTCTTCTTCTTCTTCTTTTATATATGATCTGTGATGTTATTGTAATAGTGCATGCGAAATAATGAAACAGTGTGGTGGACGTAACAACGTGATGGACTTGAAGAAACAATGGTTCTATAGGTTTCTACGAAGGACAATTGCTCTCCACATCTTAACGTATTGGACTGTCCTCTACCTCTATGGTGGTTTACCTTACCTTACATGCGGCGGGGTAAATCGTTTTGCTTTTTTTTTTGGGTTGAGTTATTATTCTTTAAAAAAATAAAATAATTACAGAATACGGTGTGTATCCAAAATTCCAAATAGGTAAAATAAATATATATATTTTTTGACAGGGCGTTGGAGGCGTGATCGTGTACCACGTGACATGGGTCGTAAACTCGGCCGCCCATGTTTGGGGTTCGAGGTCGTGGAAGACTAATGACACATCTCGTAACGTGTGGTAATATATAATATCAATTAGAGTACTCTCGTATATATGCATGAATACTTAAATATATCTTGTTTAGTCATGAAAATGAGATTAGACGGTCTTGTGAATGTGTAAAAGGTGGCTATGCTTATTTACGATGGGAGACAGTTGGCACAACAATCACCACGCGTTTGAATCATCGGCAAGACAAGGATTCGAGTGGTGGCAAATAGATATTACTTGGTATCTCATTCGACTACTTGAGGTTCTCGGATTAGCGACGGATGTGAAACTGCCCTCGGTGTTTCAGAAACAGAAATTGGCTCTAAACTAGTTGATGTTTTTGTTTTAGAACTGAAATACCCACATGAGAGATTAATCAGATATTTATATGTAAATTGTAATACAAGTTCTGTAGTGGAAACTACTAGAACATACTATGCATGATAGATTATAATATATGGTTGTTTAATATGATGGGTATTGTGACGGTTTCCATTGATTATCTAGATGTTTGAGTATTTTGTATGATCATTAAACAAAAAAAAAGAAAAAGAAAAAAAAGAAAAAAAGACTATTAGTAATTTGTCAAAAAAATTTTAAAAACTACTAGTATTTGGTATGATCACTATATTACATCGCTAAAGTTTAATTCTGAAATGAATATTTGCATCTCATCTATTCTCAAAGAGTAACACAAATAATAGAAACCTAAGTACAAGACTCGATCTTTATCAAAAAAAAAAGTACAAGACTCGAATCATTCTGAAGACTAAAATTCTTTAACATTGTGGCAATTAAAAAAAGGAATCTTACAATTTTTTACCATGCTTATTTTACCAAAATAATCTGGCTAACGCGCTATTGGGGTAAATTATATCTCGAAGGACAACAGAATACATTTTATTTTCGCATAATAATAAGCCGCACGCAAACAACGTTAAATCAGATGAGTAATTAAAGTACAGTAACCATATGATTTTCCATTAACAGTTTTAAAAAGAACGAAAAAAGTAATAAAAGTGACCAATATTTCGAGAAAAAAAAGGAAAGGTTAACAAGTAAAACCACAAAAAAGGAAAAAACATCTCTTATAAATACATAAATTCCTATCTCTTCGTCACAACAAAAAAACCAACAAATCAAAGAGATCGTTTAATCAGCACAAAAAACTCGTAAGAATGGAGTTCGTGAAAGGAGATAAAGTTGAAGTATGCAGCAAAGAAGATGGCTTCTTTGGGTCTTACTTAGAGGCCAAGGTAGTGTCGTCGAAGCTTCCCTACGGATCCTACTACAAGGTTAAGTATTATAATCTTGTGACGGAAGGTGAAGATCCTCTGCCGCTGATCGAAATCATCTCCTCCGACGAAATCCGTCCGATGCCTCCCAAATCTGAACCGGCGGTTATGTTTTCTCTCCATGAAAAGGTTGATGCTTTCGACTTAGACGGGTGGTGGGTCGGAGAGATCACCGGCCGGAGAGGCGATTTGTTCTCCGTCTACTTTGCGACGACCAACGAGGAGTGTGTTTACCCACTTAAACGTCTGAGGAAGCATCTCGAGTGGGACCGTGTTAACCGAGTATGGGTTTAATTTCTTCATCAAGAAGTAACCACCTTGTTAAACTAGGGTTTCCATCTTTGTTGCTCTTTGTATTCTGCCATGTTTATTTTATTTTATTTTATTTTTGAGAAAAACTTAGATAATACTATTACATGTTTCTTGTCGAACTTTTCTTCTTCTATGGCTCTTTGAAAATTTATATGGTTCGTTTCCAGAGACATTTTATCCCAATTACTTTGGTGGAATTCTTCCCACGATTAACAACATGCAAAAAATCATTAAAATTAAGGAACCTTCAATCCAAAACACATCATAGCCGATTAGTTAAACATTAAAATACAACACAACCTACATCCAAAGCTTGTTCCTCTCTTACCATCCTGCAAATGAAACATAAATTAGGCCTTTTTAAGATTCGACTCATCTGTTAATTAGGCAATGACAAAACAAGAGAAAATCCGATAACCAGACTAAGTCATATGTCATGTAGCACATTCGACAATGTGACTCAGAAATGTTAAAATGGTACAACAGGAGATGATTGAATGTTTAACGAAAGATAATTAGAAATGTTAAAACTGTCTCATAAATAATACAATGCTTCGTATATACACTACATTAGATAGAATACTAACCCAACTTGCAAATTAATTGAACATTTTCACTCTTCATGTACACTTTATGTGCTATTCATCCAATTTCCCTTGCTTTTTTTCTTTCCATTTTTTCTAAGGTGAGCAATTTGAGGAGAAGATTTCTTCTAGTTCTGAGGAAGAGGTGGTATAATTGAAGAAGATTATGCTTCATTTGGATGGCTTCTCTCAACAAGAGCTGGGTCAGAAGATTACGGAGTTTGGGATCACATCTCCTACCACAGAAAACAAGCTGAGTGATCCTTATCCATGCAATTTCATGTTCAAGACTTCAATCGGCTCATCAGGGAAAAGAACTGGGTGAGAAATGTTTTTGTTTCCTGAATTGTTTGTTTTGTTAATTTATCTACATACAATAACATCTTTGTATTTGTTTTTCAGTTACCTGAGGCCAGAAACAGCTCAAGGCACCTTCTTGTCCTTCAACAGTCTTTTCAAGTACAATCATAATAGATTGCCTTTAGCAGCTTTTCAGATTGGAGAAGTTTTCATAAATGAGGTAATGTTTTCAAATGCGGTAGTGATGTGGTGATGTTTAGTATAAGTTTAACATGTGATAGTGATGTGATGTAGTTGAGTACACATTATAATATTTTCTTTTATGTGGCAGGTTTCTCGTCAGCAAGTAACTCTGAGAGTTTGTGAGTTAATGCTGGCTGAAATCGAGCACTTTGTGGATACCGAGAATAAATCACATAATAAATTTGTTTATATGGCCAAATTGGAGCTCCTTATGCTTCCAAGAGTGGCCAATCTGCTAAAAAAATTGTCTTGTTAGCAAATTTAGCCACAAGGTTTTTGAAATTGATAAAACAGAATTCCCTTGCAAGTAAGGAATATTAAGTTCAATGATTCAAAATCCTTTGTGCCAAGGATATATCAAGATTCAAGACCGATGAAACACAAAATTTTGTGAAAAGATCTTCCTGTCTCTTCAGCAAATCAATCTAATCAAGTTCGAAATTCAAGCTCAGACTCTTCAAGATTCAATTTTATAAAATTTAGAAGAAAAAGATTTGATATTTTACTAAAAGGGACCAGTTTCTTGTTTCTTCTCCACTAGCCAAAACCACACGTAACTTGCACTAAGAAAGCTTTCCGGAGTTTCAATGATTGATCTAAAGGACTCATGTATGGTAATCAACATATATCTTGGAGACACAAACGTATACGCATAGGGACATTACTCATAATCTATGATTGATTAATATTTCCTATGTCTCTCTCCCACTCTGAGCATTCTCAGCCTTCAAGTCTCATGTCTCGGGAAGAGATATGCCAGGTCTGATGAAGTGGGAAGTGGAGCGCCCTTGGCGCTTACACTGGAGCGTGATTCCCACGTCTATATTCGAGACCGAGACAGCGGGAAGAAGATGAAGCTCTCTTTGCAACAGGCGACTGGAGTTGTGGATTGCCTTCTTAAAGGGTCTATGAGCTGGGAAGACGTGGAGAAGTCTTTAGATGTTTAGCATTTTGTTTTTTTTCAACTCCTGGATAGAATTGCATCAGATGGTTGATTTTATAAGAAAAGGAACAGTAAAAATATTTGGAAAGCTCATATTTCACTTTCAGGAACAACAAGGCAAACAAATTATCTTCGGGAGACACAAACGCATACTAATTTTTTTTTGTAAACGAAACACAACAGTTATCAACTTCAACACTAGCACATCACTTGAATCAAATTGGCCATTGCAATAGAACATGTATCATGTCTTTCAGTATTTCGAGCATAATCAAATTGAGACACGAGTTGCTTCCATCTACTTGATCAATGTAAATACACATTTCTTTAACAGCAAATATGTACTACACCTACAGGCTACAAGTTATTAAGGTCATCAAACAGTTCACTTGCTTGCTCTTCACGCAATCACCTTTTGCCCTGTCTCTCTCTGTGCATTCTCAGCCTTTATCCCCAGCAACACGTCACCTACAATCCACGGAAAGCTCAAGAATCTCAACTTCTCATCGCCATGGCTCGGGTTGTATGTCACATAGTACCAAGCCGACGCTAGCTTCTTCCTCTCTTGTTCATCTCCGCAGCTCTTCTCCAACCATCCCATGGCCTCTCTTTGCAAATCCTTCACAGACAATGTAATCCTATCCTTCATGTCACCGTACCTCCGGTTATCTCTCTGAAGATACATCTCCTTTGTTTTCAAAATGCCTGTGAGAATCTCTTCTTCGTTAGCAGCGCCGTAGTAGTTCATCAACGAGCTCAGTTTCTCAGCATACATGTCTCTGTGAGCTTTCGCTGTCTCTACAAAGCTCTCAAAGCCAGCTTCTTCAAGCGTCGGATCATAAGCCACTGTCTTTGTCTCTTCCTCGCTCTCAGCTTCTTCTGGCTTTCTCTGTGCTAATGAACTCTTCACAGCACGGTATAGCTTCCCAAACACAGACTGAGAGATGTACATTGGCTTCTCGAAACGTTCCAAGAAATCAGGAAACTCTCTAGGCTTTAAGGAGTAAGGCATCTCAGCGGGAGCTCCAGTTTTCGCAAAATCAACAGCACGAGAGTGAAGATTAGCTAACTCTAGACATTTCTGGCTCCGGGCTCTATCTGGATCACGGTCTGCGTGAACCAAATGCGCAGTTGAGATCACCCCAAGCGTGTCACTTATCATATAGTCAACAAAGAATTTGTGGATTTCCTACAAAAAGCAAACAGAGAAAATCAGCTTAGGAAACTTTCCCATACATGATCAGAGCCTTTTCGTTAGAAACTAACCTCTAAGGTTACATCATGATCCATTATACGAGGTCTGCTTCCAGCGTAGTCCATTGGAGCATCCATTTGGCTCGGTACAAGCTTCTCATCCCAGCTTACAAAAAACTGATCACCATCGAGATCACCACCAGAACATTCATTTGGATGTGGCCTGTAAAACCATGGGAGAAACATCAAGTAAGAATCAAAAGCATACAGTGTTTCTGCTTTGGTGCATAGCTTTAGAGGATTTGATGTTATTATATACCTCTCTCCCTTCTGAGGAAAGATGATGCAATCAAGAAACCCCTTTTGTTCAAAACTGATCTCATAGACTGCGTCAAGAACTCTGATGTCTCCAGGGTGAAGACATGGGTTTTTCGTCACGACCACTTTCCCAATCACCACAGAGGTCTCCTCGTCAATCTTCTGGAAGAAGCTCTGCTCGCGGGATTCCAGTTCCGCTTTAGTCAGTGTTACACGAACGTACACTTGGCCATACTCCAAAATCCCCATTTCATCCATGCAACCGATCAAGATCCGACCTTTCGGTACAAGTATCCTGCACCTACTCTTTAGCTCAGAAAGCTGGCTCTCGTGGTGTACACGAAGCATCATTGAGAGGTAAGGTTCTTTACTCGGTGCATATCCTTGTAGCAGCATCTTAACTAGCAGATTCTTGGAACTTTCCCCGCTCAATTTCTGCAGAACATTAAGTGCTGCATTACCGTCTTCAAGCATATTCCCAAGTATAGATAAATGCACCTTTTGCATCTCCTCAAACACTTCATCTTCTATCCCGAGCGTAGACAAAAGGCAAATGATCTCTCGGTTCAAGAAGCAAGGCATCGACTCTGTCCACCTTGTTACGTTAAGCATCCTGTTGTTGGACTCGAACTTGAGCATACTATCACGCAGAGACAGCTTTCTGAAGGAACTCCGGTCAACAGCAATCACACCTTTGTAGCCACCGTATCGAATCTGAAACGCTGAAGGGATATGACTCAGTCCACACTTCTGTGCAACTTGCTTAGCAAAGGCCAACGAGATTTTCCCAATGCCATCAGAGAAGCAGTAATCAGCACCATCAGTAGTCACTTCGACGTCAGGAATATGCTCCACATCCTGCGCACGGACGTTAAGTGTCTGCCGTGAAGCACTGAACAACTGACCCATCCTAGCAGCACATTTAGAAATGCTTCTGATTTTACGGAAACAACCCATCCAGTCTCTCACATCTTCCGCTTTTACTTTCTCGTTAGAAGCAAACATCCAGACAGAGTTCCCTCGCAGCTGACTCGCTGAAAAAGCCAAGAACTCAAACCTTTTAGCCCCCACGGTGATACCTTCTCCAAGAATTGACAACACTCTGTGATAAACGTCGGTTCTAAAGGGTTTCAAGAAATAGCCTTCCTTGGAGTTCACAGAGAGAGCACTCGCTGGAAGCTTGCTCCAATCTTCTTCCACAAACGTAACCCTCATGAAATCTGAAGCATGCTCTGCGAAGTTCTTGACAACGTAATTGGCAGTCTCAAGCTCTGGCCCCATCAGATAAATCTTTGAAGGTGTGACGTAGGCTCTCTGACAACTCATTATGTTCTGCTCGGTCAATTTTTTATAGGCTGATGCAGGGGAATGCGACGCCATCTTCTTAACCGCGGATTGCGACCGAGTCGTGACAAATGAGATAGGATCATAACATATAAAGCTTTGCTGGTGAAGTTTCTTTAAGATCGCCAATGCCGTTTCCAAGCTCAAACCACAAAGGACGTTGATCAATTCCATATCCGAAGCGGCGAAAAGACTGATCTTCTGAGCGTGAACAAGCGAATTGAGTTGGAAAAGGATCTCATAAGGAAGCTCTGTCCCTAGATCAGCAGCATTCAAGAGAGGAACAATTTGACATCCAGAGGCAAATGTAGTTTTACCCACAGTGGTTAGACTCAAAGTGTCGTCTCTGTAGTAAGGTAAGCATGAGAAAACGTCTGACATTGTTGAACCTTGGTGGACTTCCAAGAAAAAGCAAGAAGATGTCCCTATTGATTTCAAACCTGAGAAATCAGTAGTGCGAATCCATATGAAATCAAAATCCTCCTTGCAGAAATGGTACCGATCAGATTTAATCTTTGCGGATATGTGAGGTCCTGATACTCTTTTATATATCTTCGGTCCATATTTCAGCTGTAAATAAAACCAAACAAAATCAGAAGAGAGACTTAACATACCAAAACAATATAAAATCTATTGAAAATCAGCAGCAACGAACAAGGATAAACTCATCACAAGACTCAGATACACACAAGCAATCTATTATTCAAGGTTCTGAACAACACAAGGATCTCAATTTTACATGCGCATTGTCACAAACACATTATGGGCATCAAATTAACAATCTTTTTGGGGAAATTGAGTAAAAAATTTTACCTTGAGAAGAAATGCATTGAGCTCAGAGACGCCATTGATGCAGCAGCTAACAGTTTCAACGATGTCCTCAAACCTAACTTCGACTTTGTAACATTCACCGTTTTCCCAAACCCAAAACTCAACTCTCCTCTTCTCCTCTATAATCCAACATCTCACGCCTTCCCATTTTTCTAGGGCACAAAGCCTCAATTCGTCGGCTTCAGGAAACCCAACAGTCAAAACGACGCCGTCGATTCTTTTCCTCGGATCTACAGGGCGAGGGATGATGTCGTCGTAGGCTTCGGAGATTCTTAGGTTATGGGTTTTGAAGAGGAGCTTGTTCTGGGAAGAGAGAAGCTGAGCGCGAGATTTGACCTCGAGTGAAGTGAATTGCACGAGCGCGAAGTCTCGTGGCTTCCAATTGTCGCGAGATGTTGGGATTTCGAGGGCGAATACTGTGTCTACGCCGAGGTGGAGCTCTAGGAACCGGAGGAGTTCGTCGGCGACTATGGTTTGAGGAACGTTGGTGAGTTTAACAGTCGATCGCGTCGTCTCGGAAACCATGATTGACGGTAAGAGGGAGAGAGAGAGTGTGTAGAGAGTGTGTTAAAGGGACGATCAAAAGAGTAAAAGTGAGCAGAGAGGGAATAAAAAAGTTTGCTTTTTCCGAAAATCAAAAAGCTACCAGAGAGAGAATTGGTTTTTATTAGGGTTTTGTGCAAAACAACCCTCAAACTAAATTCATTTTGCAAATCAAACCCTCAATTTAAAGTTGTGCAAATCAAACCTCTGAAGTCAAAATAACCCCGCAATATAAGACATCTCTATATTTGTGACAAAATTTAAAATGATTTTATGCAAAACAACTCGCGAACTATTTTTTGTGTGCAAATCTAACCTTCAACTTAAAAAATATGCAAGTCAAACCTGCAAAGTCGAAAGTCACTGCTAAAATGAACTTATATGTATTTGTCCAAACTACAAACTTGACTCAAAACGTCATGATATTTATAATATTTTAACAATTTTTATTAAAAATACTTAAAACAATAATTCAATATTTCTTCTCTTTTTTCTCATCAATAAGGAGAGGGTTAGGATTTTTAACCAAATCCAAAAAAACTAAACCGTAGCCAATCCAGAAAATCAAAACCGAACCAACTTACTCACAATATAGTTACTTGGAAGATCTGAAGTCCTATGTCTTTATGAGCCTCTCTCGAATAATTCTATTGCAAGTAAATTAGTTCTTATCTTTGTCTCTTCGTCGTCATTAGTTAATGAGATCATGAAGAAAAGAATCAACTTATTCGCGATAAGATTACTCGAGATAAATTTATTAATAAGAGGAGAAAGAGAAAGGAAATTAAAGATTAAAGTTTTTTGTTTTTGTTTTTTTTTAATTTACTTTTAATAAAAATGGTTAAAATATTATTAATGTCATGACGTTTTGAGTCAACGTTTGTAGTTAAGGACAAATACATATAAGTCCATTTTAGCAGTGACTTTCGATTTTGCAGGTTTGACTTGCATATTTTTAAGTTGAGGGTTAGATTTGCACATAAAAAATAGTTTGCGGGTTGTTTTGCATAAAATCATTTTAAATTTGTCACAAATATAGAGATGTCTTATATTGCGGGGTTATTTTGACTTCAGAGGTTTGATTTGCACAACTTTAAATTGAGGGTTTGATTTGCAAAATGAATTTAGTTTGAGGGTTGTTTTGCACAAAACCTTTTTATTAGGTGCTTTCTAGTAAGTATATCGAAGCTCCATACGGCTTATAAATGGACCGTGCGGTCATATCGGATTTGATTTTAGCCGTTGATTGTGGTTACTCAATCTATGACCAGACCAGTTTCGTATGTACGATATAAACCGTCAATTCGACCGTTGGTATTTTCTTTTTTAGTTAACCGGACTGAAATTGTTGGGGTTTATGGAGGTAACCAAGAGTCATCATCTACAATTAAAATTGAAATACTTTCATATTGATATGTAAAGCTAAGTGATGAATTAAGTTTGAAAAATCTTCTGATTTTGATAATTATGTTCAAAACTAAAGTCAGACACTCACAAACAAGCACAATCTATAAGGTTAAGTGGGTAGAGAACTCAAATTTTGTTGTATAAAAGAATGGTTTGTCACAAACTTTGGCAGAAGCACAAAATTGATCTTATTGGCATATTGGTGAATTGCCTCCCTCTCCATGAAATCTCAGGATTTCAAAAACGAAAAAAAAAAAGGTATAGTGCCACAAGCTACAAGAGAGAACGCCATCACCATTCTATGATCATCTAAGTTTTTTATTTTCAAAAACTAATGACGAATCCTCATTAAAACATGTGTTATAGTCAATAATATTTGTTTTTTGCAAATGCTCTTTAAGCATGAATGTAAAATCAAATCTCTTGACAAATACACTGGAATTCATCATTATTGGAGAAATTTTAAAAAAAATCCCCTTATTACTGTATATTTTTTACTTGTTTTTCGTACGAAAATCAGAATGGTTTATGCTTTAATTCACAATTTGTTTTAAGTTTTAACACAAAAACAGAAGAAATTTTTTCCGCCCTTTAGTATTATTTGCAAATAATGCATATCAAAAATCTAGTTTACCAAAATATTTCACCGTTTTCATTATTGGTCCAAATTTTGTTATGATCTCTCATACTTATAAAAATGTCTCAGCAAGAATGTCTCCTAGGAGCTTGGAGAAGTCTTTAGATGTTTAGCAGTTTGTTTTAGATTGATAAACTGTGGATATAATTGCAAATAGGATATCAATATTTTATAAGAAAAGGAACAGTAACAATATTTGGAAAGCTCATATTTCACTTTCAGCAACAACAAGGAAATCAAAATATTTTCTGGACACACAAACGCATACGCATAGGGGATATTACTCATAATCTCTGACTAGTAAGTAATAAAATCTTCTTGTAAACAAAACACAACAGTTATCAGCTTCAACACTAGCACATCACTGGAATCAAATTGGCCATTGCAATAGAACAAGTAAGAAACCTTCAAGTTTTTCAGTATCTCGAGCATTATCAATTTGGGACACGAGTTGCTCCATATACTTGATCAATGTAAATACACATTTCCCTTCGTGAGCAAATATGTACTACACCTACAGGCTACAAGTTATTAAGGTAATCAAATAGATCAATTGCTTGCTCTTCACGCAATCACCATTTCCTCTGTTTCTCTCCCTCTGTGCATTCTCAGCCTCTATCCCCAGCAAAACGTCACCTACAATCCACGGAAACCTCAACAATCACAACTTCTCATCGCCATGGCTCGGGTTGTATGTCACATACTACCAAGCCGACGCTGGCTTCTTCCTCTCTTGCTCATCTCCACAGCTCTTGTCGAACCATCCCATGGCCTCTCTCTGCAAATCCTTCACAGACAATGTAATCCTATCCTTCATGTCACCGTACCTCCGGTTATCTCTCTGAAGATACATCTCCTTGGTTTTCAAAATGCCTGTGAGAATCTCCTCTTCGTTAGCAGCGCCGTAGTAGTTCATCAACGAGCTCAGTTTCTCACCATACATGTCTCTGTGAGCTTTCGCTGTCTCTATACCATCAACGACGCCATCTTCTTAACCGCGGCCTGCGACTGAGTCTTGACAAATGAGACAGGATCGTAACATTTAGAGCTTTGCTGGTGAAGTTTCTTTAAGATCGCCAATGCCGTTTCCAAGCTCAAACCAAAAAGGACGTTGATCAATTTCGTATCCGAAGCGGCGAAAAGACTGCGTGAACCAGCGAATTGAGTTGGAAGAGGATCTCATATGGAAGCTCTGTCCCTAGATCAACGGCATTCAAGAGAGGAACCATTTGACTCCAGAGGCAAATGTAGTTTTATCCACAGTGGTTAGACTCAAATGGATTTTAAAATCACAAGTTCAATAACACTGGATTTAAAAAAAAAACAACTTTTTTTTTCAGCTTTACAATCATTTGCAAATAATACAAATCAAAAATCTAGTTTAACCAAACATCTCACCGTTTTGGACCTTTTGGTTATTTGTTATGATCTCTCCTACAAATTTCGAATGTCTCGCAATAATGAAGGGGAAAAAGAGTGATAAACAATACCTTCAGTCTCTAATCTTAGACATTTTTTGGCAAAGAGTTTTCATTATAGTAGATTCAGAGTTTACAGTTATTTTATTAAGTGAAATGCGATGTTTTGCGAATGGTGGTAAAACAACAAAAAAAAAACAACAAAAATTCACACTATCATGACCAAGCAGCGGCTGAAGTAACTAAAATTTTGTCCTTTTGGATCATCTTCAAGCAGTTTGTGCAACCGGTTCATCAGATGCTGCTTCAAGCCTTCACAAAACAAAATACAGACATTCAATTCATAAAACTCACTAATCTTATGCATAACATATACGAGCCACTGTTGATATCATTTACCTTTCGATTCCTTCCCCAACCTCGACTCTCAGAAAATTTGTAACCTTCACCGGTGAACCAACCTCCTTGGACAAATTATCCACCAATGTCTGTGGAAAACGAACCCAAAAGCTCCGTTAAACAAGGATGCAGAGACAATCATAACAGTATAAAAGGCTAATTTCACCATACCTTGATGTTTATAGCGTCGTTGACAATGAACTTTTGCTCCATTAAAGCAACTTCTTCAAAGTATTTACGGAGACGGCCTTCCACCATCTTCTCTACAGCCATCTGAGACTTGGCTGTACTTTCTGCCTGTCACATGCCACCACATTTGATAAGACAATTCATAACAAAGCAGAGAGGTTTTTAGGGAATAGAAGTGAGAGAGTGACCTGAGACTTTAGAATCTCGCGTTCGTTTGCTATGGCTTCTGAGGAAACAAGGTCTTTGCTTAAAAACAGAGGCTTTGCTGCTACAACATGCATGGCCAGTTCTGAGCCTACACGCTGAATAGCCTCTAGCTGAGTGTTTTCACCTTCTACCTCTAGAGATACAATCCCAGCTATACGACCCAACCCTATTATGTTCATAACACACAAAAAAGTAAGTTAGAGATGCGTAGATATACATTAAAGACAACGGGAGTATTGAACAGTTTTGTACCTGGTTGGGGACTTGTGTGGAGGTATGCAGAAAGGACGCCTGCTGAGGATTTAGACAGCAAGAAACCTCTCCTGAATTTCACATTCTCTCCCATTATCGCAGCTACTTCTGTGACAGCGTTTGAAACCGTGGTTTCACCATTCACTTTAGGATGATCAAGATCGAGCTTCAACTCCTGAATAGAAATGAAAACTTGACATTAATATCACAGATGGTGGAAACAGAAAACAACAACATAGGTCTAAGATGTTATGAACATAAGAGAAAACAAGTGAGTTCATCAAACAACTGACCTCAAAAATCTCAGGCCCAAAGGGGAAGACACCGGAAACTTGCTGAGAACTATTCTCAACCAGCAAAGCACGTTTTGCCATAGCTAATGCCTGCAGACATAATGATTCTATAAGAGAAAGAACGCTTATTATTCAGAAACATTAAAGAAACGCATGCGAAATTTCTATGGCACTAACCAAGTACTGGAAAATGTCGTTAATCCAAGGGAGGAACATCAAATGGACCAAATTTGGGAACCGGAAGAGGTAAGGAGTCCGAAATGTACCTCTGTGACTCCACATTGTGGAAACTCACTTGTAGTGTATAAGATGAACTAGATGGACCCATACTTACCCAAACATGGATTAATAGGTTCTCCACATGACTATGAGGACAAACATGAGTGAAACGGTCTCAATCCAAGGGAGGAACATCAAATGGACCTAATTTGGGAACCGGAAGAGGTAAGGAGTCCGAAATGTACCTCTGTGACTCCACATTGTGGAAACTCACTTGTAGTGTATAAGATGAACTAGATGGACCCATACTTACCCAAACATGGATTAATAGGTTCTACACATGACTATGAGGACAAACATGAGTGAAACGGTCTCAATCCAAGGGAGGAACATCAAATGGACCTAATTTGGGAACCGGAAGAGGTAAGGAGTCCGAAATGTACCTCTGTGACTCCACATTGTGGAAACTCACTTGTAGTGTATAAGATGAACTAGATGGACCCATACTTACCCAAACATGGATTAATAGGTTCTACACATGACTATGAGGACAAACATGAGTGAAACGGTCTCAATCCAAGGGAGGAACATCAAATGGACCTAATTTGGGAACCGGAAGAGGTAAGGAGTCCGAAATGTACCTCTGTGACTCCACATTGAGGAAACTCACTTGTAGTGTATAAGATGAACTAGATGGACCCATACTTACCCAAACATGGATTAATAGGTTCTACACATGACTATGAGGACAAACATGAGTGAAACGGTCTCAATCCAAGGGAGGAACATCAAATGGACCAAATTTGGGAACCGGAAGAGGTAAGGAGTCCGAAATGTACCTCTGTGACTCCACATTGTGGAAACTCACTTGTAGTGTATAAGATGAACTAGATGGACCCATACTTACCCAAACATGGATTAATAGGTTCTACACATGACTATGAGGACAAACATGAGTGAAACGGTCTCAATCCAAGGGAGGAACATCAAATGGACCTAATTTGGGAACCGGAAGAGGTAAGGAGTCCGAAATGTACCTCTGTGACTCCACATTGTGGAAACTCACTTGTAGTGTATAAGATGAACTAGATGGACCCATACTTACCCAAACATGGATTAATAGGTTCTACACATGACTATGAGGACAAACATGAGTGAAACGGTCTCAATCCAAGGGAGGAACATCAAATGGACCTAATTTGGGAACCGGAAGAGGTAAGGAGTCCGAAATGTACCTCTGTGACTCCACATTGTGGAAACTCACTTGTAGTGTATAAGATGAACTAGATGGACCCATACTTACCCAAACATGGATTAATAGGTTCTACACATGACTATGAGGACAAACATGAGTGAAACGGTCTCAATCCAAGGGAGGAACATCAAATGGACCTAATTTGGGAACCGGAAGAGGTAAGGAGTCCGAAATGTACCTCTGTGACTCCACATTGTGGAAACTCACTTGTAGTGTATAAGATGAACTAGATGGACCCATACTTACCCAAACATGGATTAATAGGTTCTACACATGACTATGAGGACAAACATGAGTGAAACGGTCTCAATCCAAGGGAGGAACATCAAATGGACCTAATTTGGGAACCGGAAGAGGTAAGGAGTCCGAAATGTACCTCTGTGACTCCACATTGTGGAAACTCACTTGTAGTGTATAAGATGAACTAGATGGACCCATACTTACCCAAACATGGATTAATAGGTTCTACACATGACTATGAGGACAAACATGAGTGAAACGGTCTCAATCCAAGGGAGGAACATCAAATGGACCTAATTTGGGAACCGGAAGAGGTAAGGAGTCCGAAATGTACCTCTGTGACTCCACATTGTGGAAACTCACTTGTAGTGTATAAGATGAACTAGATGGACCCATACTTACCCAAACATGGATTAATAGGTTCTCCACATGACTATGAGGACAAACATGAGTGAAACGGTCTCAATCCAAGGGAGGAACATCAAATGGACCTAATTTGGGAACCGGAAGAGGTAAGGAGTCCGAAATGTACCTCTGTGACTCCACATTGTGGAAACTCACTTGTAGTGTATAAGATGAACTAGATGGACCCATACTTACCCAAACATGGATTAATAGGTTCTACACATGACTATGAGGACAAACATGAGTGAAACGGTCTCAATCCAAGGGAGGAACATCAAATGGACCTAATTTGGGAACCGGAAGAGGTAAGGAGTCCGAAATGTACCTCTGTGACTCCACATTGTGGAAACTCACTTGTAGTGTATAAGATGAACTAGATGGACCCATACTTACCCAAACATGGATTAATAGGTTCTACACATGACTATGAGGACAAACATGAGTGAAACGGTCTCAATCCAAGGGAGGAACATCAAATGGACCTAATTTGGGAACCGGAAGAGGTAAGGAGTCCGAAATGTACCTCTGTGACTCCACATTGTGGAAACTCACTTGTAGTGTATAAGATGAACTAGATGGACCCATACTTACCCAAACATGGATTAATAGGTTCTACACATGACTATGAGGACAAACATGAGTGAAACGGTCTCAATCCAAGGGAGGAACATCAAATGGACCTAATTTGGGAACCGGAAGAGGTAAGGAGTCCGAAATGTACCTCTGTGACTCCACATTGTGGAAACTCACTTGTAGTGTATAAGATGAACTAGATGGACCCATACTTACCCAAACATGGATTAATAGGTTCTACACATGACTATGAGGACAAACATGAGTGAAACGGTCTCAATCCAAGGGAGGAACATCAAATGGACCTAATTTGGGAACCGGAAGAGGTAAGGAGTCCGAAATGTACCTCTGTGACTCCACATTGTGGAAACTCACTTGTAGTGTATAAGATGAACTAGATGGACCCATACTTACCCAAACATGGATTAATAGGTTCTACACATGACTATGAGGACAAACATGAGTGAAACGGTCTCAATCCAAGGGAGGAACATCAAATGGACCAAATTTGGGAACCGGAAGAGGTAAGGAGTCCGAAATGTACCTCTGTGACTCCACATTGTGGAAACTCACTTGTAGTGTATAAGATGAACTAGATGGACCCATACTTACCCAAACATGGATTAATAGGTTCTACACATGACTATGAGGACAAACATGAGTGAAACGGTCTCAATCCAAGGGAGGAACATCAAATGGACCAAATTTGGGAACCGGAAGAGGTAAGGAGTCCGAAATGTACCTCTGTGACTCCACATTGTGGAAACTCACTTGTAGTGTATAAGATGAACTAGATGGACCCATACTTACCCAAACATGGATTAATAGGTTCTACACATGACTATGAGGACAAACATGAGTGAAACGGTCTCAATCCAAGGGAGGAACATCAAATGGACCTAATTTGGGAACCGGAAGAGGTAAGGAGTCCGAAATGTACCTCTGTGACTCCACATTGTGGAAACTCACTTGTAGTGTATAAGATGAACTAGATGGACCCATACTTACCCAAACATGGATTAATAGGTTCTACACATGACTATGAGGACAAACATGAGTGAAACGGTCTCAATCCAAGGGAGGAACATCAAATGGACCTAATTTGGGAACCGGAAGAGGTAAGGAGTCCGAAATGTACCTCTGTGACTCCACATTGTGGAAACTCACTTGTAGTGTATAAGATGAACTAGATGGACCCATACTTACCCAAACATGGATTAATAGGTTCTACACATGACTATGAGGACAAACATGAGTGAAACGGTCTCAATCCAAGGGAGGAACATCAAATGGACCTAATTTGGGAACCGGAAGAGGTAAGGAGTCCGAAATGTACCTCTGTGACTCCACATTGTGGAAACTCACTTGTAGTGTATAAGATGAACTAGATGGACCCATACTTACCCAAACATGGATTAATAGGTTCTACACATGACTATGAGGACAAACATGAGTGAAACGGTCTCAATCCAAGGGAGGAACATCAAATGGACCTAATTTGGGAACCGGAAGAGGTAAGGAGTCCGAAATGTACCTCTGTGACTCCACATTGTGGAAACTCACTTGTAGTGTATAAGATGAACTAGATGGACCCATACTTACCCAAACATGGATTAATAGGTTCTACACATGACTATGAGGACAAACATGAGTGAAACGGTCTCAATCCAAGGGAGGAACATCAAATGGACCTAATTTGGGAACCGGAAGAGGTAAGGAGTCCGAAATGTACCTCTGTGACTCCACATTGTGGAAACTCACTTGTAGTGTATAAGATGAACTAGATGGACCCATACTTACCCAAACATGGATTAATAGGTTCTACACATGACTATGAGGACAAACATGAGTGAAACGGTCTCAATCCAAGGGAGGAACATCAAATGGACCTAATTTGGGAACCGGAAGAGGTAAGGAGTCCGAAATGTACCTCTGTGACTCCACATTGTGGAAACTCACTTGTAGTGTATAAGATGAACTAGATGGACCCATACTTACCCAAACATGGATTAATAGGTTCTACACATGACTATGAGGACAAACATGAGTGAAACGGTCTCAATCCAAGGGAGGAACATCAAATGGACCTAATTTGGGAACCGGAAGAGGTAAGGAGTCCGAAATGTACCTCTGTGACTCCACATTGTGGAAACTCACTTGTAGTGTATAAGATGAACTAGATGGACCCATACTTACCCAAACATGGATTAATAGGTTCTACACATGACTATGAGGACAAACATGAGTGAAACGGTCTCAATCCAAGGGAGGAACATCAAATGGACCTAATTTGGGAACCGGAAGAGGTAAGGAGTCCGAAATGTACCTCTGTGACTCCACATTGTGGAAACTCACTTGTAGTGTATAAGATGAACTAGATGGACCCATACTTACCCAAACATGGATTAATAGGTTCTCCACATGACTATGAGGACAAACATGAGTGAAACGGTCTCAATCCAAGGGAGGAACATCAAATGGACCAAATTTGGGAACCGGAAGAGGTAAGGAGTCCGAAATGTACCTCTGTGACTCCACATTGTGGAAACTCACTTGTAGTGTATAAGATGAACTAGATGGACCCATACTT